TACATGTAAAATTTATAATATTCATTTTAGATGTAGATAACAGATGTAGCAAAAACAAATTTTTTTTTTAATTTTCTAATTCTTAGAAATCATAAGCTCAAAAATGTATATACTGACTGAGTACGGGTATAAGTAGAGTCGCGTCCCCAGAAGCGACTCACACGTTCCTTCTTGTTTTTATGTGAATTCACACCGCTCATCTGAATTGCAGTGGTACAACCCATCCTTTCCAATATTACCATTCCATGGGTTGCTGCTTATTCGAATGATTTATAAAGAAGGCCTTGTTTGCCAGAACTATTATGTTGCGTACTCTTGGACCTGTTGGAGCACCTGGAACTTGCTGCGATTTGTTTAAAATCAACAACAGCATTCGAAGAGCCAGAATGAAAGTTAACAGTCAATGCAGTGCTTGACTCAACGAACTCCACGCGAAATTCGACGTTCTCGGCCATGAGCTCCTTCATCAGTTCACTCCCTGCATTGTTTGGGGTCATTGCCAAGGACAATATAACAATAAGATGCGTAACGCCATACAAAATTTTGGCACTCATATTTTTCAGGCTGGCTCCAGGCTCTTTTTAAATTTTGTTAAAAAGCCAGAGAGAGAGAGAGCGCTGTAGAGCCAACGGCTGTCTTGTACGCATACAGCGGCAGCCGACGACTTTATACTATGTGCACACGTATTCTCAAGCACTCTAGGGGTTTTTTACAGCGCTGTCGAGATATACCCTTCACTTAAGAATTTTTGCATGGTGGTATGACACTTTTAATAGACGCTTGACGTCCAATATAAATTGTTGTTTGTATATATTTTATGTGCAGTTTTTTTTTTTTATATATAGAATGTATGAATATAATCACATAAAACATTTCATACATGACTTCACATATCAGCAATTGTCATTAGGGTATTCGGCGTGCGTCGTGTCACTAAGAAAATTTTTGTGACGCCCGCTTTTGTAAAAATGCAGCGAATGCAGTGCCGTCTCTACCGATTTCCCTTTGGTGCAGGCATGCTGGTTGGTTGACATCCGCCCCCCTACATCGTTTCTGATGTGTAGATCCAGCAGCTTTTCTAGTGTTTTGAGTAGAAAAGAGGTGAGGCTTATCGGTCTGTAGTCATTGGGGCTCATATGGCTGCACTTTCCTGCCTTTGGAAGGAAGACAATCCTCGAGGTCCTCCATTGAATAGGCCCGTGCCCGTGCTCAGGCAAGCTGAGTATATTACAGAGAGCCATGCGGTGATCACGTCTTTGGTCGCATGTAGCATGGCTGGAAATATACCGTCTAGTCCAGGTGCTTTCGTACCCACAAAGGAGTCTATAGCCCAGTGGATTCTCCTAGACGATATGAGACCCGTTGGGGGATGCTATTCCTCAGTTTCTAGGTCCTGATGCGTTGTAGCGTCAGCAACCTCGGTGCATCCTGGGAAGTGAGCTTCCATTAGTGCTGTTAGGGCTTCTTCACTGCCCTCAGTCCACTGTCCATCGTTTTGCTTGAGCTGACTCTGTATGGTAGGTTGCTTTGATAGCAGCTTCCGGAGTCTAGCCGTTTCTGGGACTTTCTCGATGTTGGAGAAGAAGTTCCTCCACGAGTTTCTTTGTGCCCTTCGTATTTCCTTCTTGTACTCCCTGAGTAGGATTTTATATTCCTCATTGATCATCTCATCGCTCGCCTGTTTGGCGATTTTGAAGAATTCTTTGAGGTTGTTTCTTTGGAGCGATAGGTCCCGGTTCCACCAGAGTGGTTTGGTGCTCTTTTTCGTTCTCGAGGGTGGGCACGATGCGTGGTACGCATCCAGTAGTTCCCTGGATAGGGTCTCTAGGGACGTTTCTATGTCTTCCGGGGATTTCACTGTGCCCGGACGATTCGAGAGCCTCGTGGTAACTGTCTTTTTAAACTTTTCCCAGTTTGTGTTCCGGGGGTTTCTATAGACAGTTATCTTCGGAGAGTGTTCAAATTCGCACTTAAACTGAATATACTTGTGGTCTGAGAAGGATGGTCTTTCAAGGACTCTGCAGCCAGATACCAAAGTACTTGTTCCCGCTACGAGTTTTAAATCTAGCACTTTTGAAGAGGTGGGACCTACAAAGGTGTATTCCTCTCCTACGTTTTCTACTTCTAGGTTAGTTGATAGTATGAAGTCTAGGAGGGACTCACCTCTATCGTTGATGTCGGGGCTTCCCCACACGTTGTGATGTGCGTTTGCGTCCGTACCGACGAGAAGTTGCTGGTCTTTCGGGCTGGCTTCCGCCACTAGATTCCACAACTCTTCAGGTGGAGCTGGCCTGTCGTGAGCCATGTAGCAGGAGGCTACCATCAGGCGCCTTTCCTTGCTTTCTAGCATCACCACGGTCAGATCGTCAGTGCTGTAATGAGACATGAGGTGAGCATGGATTCCCTTTCGTACGAGTACGGCGGTTCAGTTCCTGCTTACCGATGGTGGATAGAACACGTTAAAATTTGAGGACTTTAGTCCGGCCACAGCATTGCCTGATGCAACCCATGGCTCCTGGACTAAGGCTATGTCGGCGGGCCCTTGCTCCATGGCAAAGAGGAGCTCCGCCGACGCTATCTTACTTATGTGGAGGTTGAGCTGCAGTAGACTCACCATGTGCGTCTGGCTCAGCTCCACTCGACGGGTTGACTACTACCGTCAGGTCACCGTCCTCCTCCTCCTCCGAGTCCAGCGCAAGACCCTGTGCGGCCTCCACGATGGTGTCCAGACCAAGGTCCTTCTCCACCTCGCCCGCCTGCAGAGTGTGCGCATCTTTATCCTCGGGGTGGCGCTTTTTCAGCCGCAGGTACACACTGCCCATCCCCCACGCCATCTTCCCGAATCTTAGGTACAGCAGGTTCTCTACCTCCTTGCTGATCTGGATGATCGCACTCTGGCCCCCCTCATTGGGTAGTGGGCTCCCGATATGCAAAATCCTCCAGTTCGCCCTTGGATTACGATGGGGAAGAGTACCTTTGCCTTTGGTATGGACGGGATTAGCACCCTGTCCACCACCTCCAGCTTGGCCCCCTCCCACAACGCTTCCAGTTGGCAGACCGTTTGCGTCAGCCACTTGAGTGTGGGGTCGTCAATACATTTTAGTATTTAGACCCCGTTAAGCCACCCTGCACCATCGAACGTGGGCATGGCGGCCGTTTGGTTCTCCTCCATTCGAACGAACAGCGCATCCACGAGCCGCGCGTGCACCGTCTTCCACCGTTATTTTGCCGTTCTCGTCGCTCCGGTCAATGAGTGCCACGATTAAGTGTCGTTTGGTCACCTCACTGACCTTCGCCTGTTTGGGTGTGAGGCCTGCCACCTTGGGCCCGCGTTGCCGCTTGCTCACCGGAGTGTCCTTGATGGCACTCTCGGTCGAGCGTTGCCTTTTGGTGGCGTGACTCTCCTCCACCTTGTTGGCAAATCCCTCCGTCGATGCCTTCATCTGCGGCATCTGCGCGAAGTGCAGCCGTCCCTCTTGTATCCGTTGCTCGGCCCAGGTCATTTAGGCCTTCTCCTCTTCAGAGAGGTCCTTCCTGCCCTGGAGCCGACCCATGATCTTGAGGGCCGCTTTGTACTGGGCCTTCGCCTTCAACCCCTCCTTGAAACGCTTCGGCCTTTCCCTACGCAGGGAGCTGGAACCTGGTTCCGGGGAGCGGAGAAGGCTATCTTCCTCCGTCTTGGTTACCGAGAGCACGCTCTCCAGGTCCGAGTCTGTATCGACCACGGCACCTGTGCGGCTCAACCTGGAGTGAGTCGTTTTTGTGACAGTAGCATTGCAACTGATATGACCTGCTCCCGTCATATCAGAGGTGTGGCCGCTGGCGACACGCAGAGAGGATTGCTCCTCCCCGTGCCCGCCGGTGGTAGCAGCCACGCTTTCCACCGACGTTTGGGTTGACATCCCAACCCTTGCTTGCTCCTTCTTCCGCTCCATTGTTGGCCCAGAGGGTCTATGCTGGTTAATATTTTTCGGGGGGACCACCCCCTACCGTTTTATGCCTACCCGCCAGGCACCTCCAGCCATGGCCATGGTTCAGTTCCCCCAAATTTTTGGTCGGGAAGACCTGGACCTGGCCCTGGCTAGACACTGCATTGTCCCGGACAGAGCAAGCGGCAATGCATTACCCGATCCGGGATAATGCAGTGCCCATTGCCCAGCCGGCACCCTCTGAGAGGGTTCAGCTGGAGGATTTTCGCCGGCCGGCGTGGCAACACAAAAAAAAAAATTAAAAATTTTTCCAAAAATACGTTCGTGGTGTTTTAAAAGATGTGTTTAACATCTGCACAGGTGACGAATCATGAATTTATAAATATTATTTTCTGAGTGCCAAAAATGTTGTGAAAATAGGTTCAAATGTTCAAAAAAGGGTTTATATTCCTGGAGGATGTTGTTCAAAATAAAAAAACCATTTTCAGACATCTAATTTTTGTTTTTCATAGTTAGGCCAGAAACTTAAATAGCAGCCTACGTATCTATGTATACCCGGCCACGCTTCACTGTGCCAGATTTTGGTTGCATGGATCAGTAGTGAGTCAAATAACATGTTCAATATATATTTTTATTTCAATAATTTGAGGGTATAAAATACCCAATATTCCATTTCCGTCATCTCCCATTCCGTTTCCCGCTACGAATATGGATGCTTCGTGTTTTCCCTTTATTTTAAACTACTAAACCTTATTTGAATAATAATGATAATAAAGACAAAGTTCAAGGCCCCTAATGGCGATGAATGTACAAAATGGACCAGTAAATTAATAAAATTTGATCTCCCTTCAAATATGGTTTGCAAATAGTCCATGACTATCAAACAAGTTAGTTTAATTAATCAACGAAATTTAATGAAAATTCCCTAGCTTGTGAGCTTGCATACATATGTATCTATATTCATTTGGTGCATTAATTTAAGAGATGTAATTATGAAAGCTTTTGAACCATGGAATTCGAAATGGTATAAAGTCTATCGTACTTAGGATGGATAAGTTAGAGTGAAATCCCATCTGTGTGCTGTCAGTTTAAAACAATTTAAAAAATGAGGGGGATCGTTAGCTGTTGCGTGCTCGTCACCATCCTGATCATGGCTGCCGAACTCCATGCGTACAGGAGTAAGTTCTGAGATGGATAGTCAGTAAAATAGTTCAAATGTTCCCCTTAATCAAATAGAATTTGGACGCGATTGTCGGGAAATTGCATGTGCTCCGGGAGAAAGATGCACAATCTCTAGAGTTCCGTGCAATGCTCCAGATGAGCTTGAGGGCGATCAATGCGGAACATATCCAGTGTGTGAGAAGACAGAGCAGAAAGAAATGAGTGCAGGTTCGTACAAAATTAGTTTCCATCTTCATCCCTCGGTCACATTCAGGCACTGGCCCGTTTCAGATCAGAAGACAAACGATTTAACGATCGAAACCGCACAGACCATAGCCAACTCCAGCACGATCAAGACCACCACCCTCCCCCAACCAAACCGATCGAAAATCCGGCCGGACAGGGAAAATGACTTTGAGCTGCTCAACGATTACGAGAACGTAGATTCTTCCTTCACTCTTGCCCGACAACGACAGGCCAACGTTCTGGTCATTGTGCAAGATGGTCCTCAGCAGTCCCTGCTCCCAAAAAGTGGCCTGGGACAGTATTCGCCCTGCACTGTTAGTCCCTACTATCCGTATAACTGTAACTATCCGCTCCCATCTAACGTGCCTGCTTCCGTCCCTAGAAACGTTAGAATGCCCTATCCCCAGACCAGAACTGCAAATATTCCCCAATTAGTGTCACCCACCCCACCTTGCTATTACAATTGCTATCCCAGACGACCTCAGAGTCCCTTTGCTCAGTATGGATACCCCCTTGTCCGATCCACCAATCCCGTCTCATCGGCCAACAATTATTTGTTTTACCTCTCGCTTGCTGTCTAAACTGGGTCCATATTTCAATTCTTCTTCTCACCAGCTTTGCACCGACTTCGGCGTACGCCTCAGTGGTTGCCAGCTGCTCCACCTCCACCACTTCCCGGACTACCACCACCGTATCCCATTCATGTCCAACAACCGCGTCATGCCCTTCCACAGTCAGCGATTCAACCACAACCCCGGCTTATACAACAGCCTCAACGTCAGCCTCAACTCTATTTCTCGATGGGTCTTTCTTATCCATCGTATATGAATTATGAAAGGCGTAATGTAGGAGGATTGTCTTCATATTTCTATAATCCGTCCGTGCCAAGCTACAATTCTTACTATTATAATATAAATCTACCATTTTCGGGCAGTTCTACTTAGGACAATAACAATAACTGCGTGTTTTGTTTACTTCCAAACATTTTTCTCTGACGTCTCAATCTCTTCTTTTGTTCCTCATTTCACCAGCCTTTTTGGAATACATGGAATTAAAAACAGATCCCGAAACCGAATTCAAATCAGAGTCAGAGTCATCGCATACATTTCACAACCGTTCAGCTCGGCAAATTCCATTGCCTAGGCCTATGCCAATGCCAATACCCGGACTAATGCCAATGCCTATGCCTGTTCCTGGTCCAGTCCCCATGAATGTTCCAGGGTCCGGCCGAGTATATTACCCTCCCATTGCACAGTCTCAGTATATGCAACCAATCAACATAGCAAGTCGGCCCGTAGCAGGACCAATGCCCATGATGCCAATGATTCCGCAAAATGGTGTCGGTCCGATGGGGACGGGTGGTACTAACATAATCGTTGAACCTTTACTCATTCTGCCAATGGGCATGGGGACGTCACCTGGCGTGGGAATCAATGGGAACCAATATTATGGGGCTACCGGCGCATATCCAACCTATAATCCCTATAACACTTACACCACACCTCGACCCTACTATGACTACAGCAATTATAACAACAACAACTACAATAATTATACAAATACTGGAAACAACAATTATAATGATTACAATTCATATGGATAAAAATTACTCGACTTGCCCAACTGAATCAAATAAACCAATTTTTATCTATCGTTGGTACAAATATTCGATTTTATGCGTTAATGTGTCTTTTGGAAAATTATGAATTTGTTCTATATCTTGATTTTTAGGTGTACCACTGGAACGTAGGAAACGTGAAGCCGAACAAGAGGGTGTTGGGTATGGTATGGGTGGTAGTGGAATGGGAAGAGGCAATGGAAATGGAATGAATGGAATGGGTTCCCGGGGACAAAACGGTAACGGAATGGGTGGTAATCAAATTGGTGGAGGAAACGGAATGAATGGAAATGGAATGGGCAACAACGAAATGAGACCCGGAGGAATGGGTGGACCAAATAGAATGGGAGGCCCAAACGGTAACGGAATGGGTGGTAATCAAATGGGTGGAGGAAACGGAATGAATGGGATGGGTGGACCAAATAGAATGGGAGGACCAAATGGTAACGAAATGGGCGGTAATCAAATGGGTGGAGGAAACGGAGTGAATGGAAATGGAATGGGACACAACGGAGTGAGACCCGGAGGAATGGGTGGACCAAATAGAATGGGAGGACCAAATGGTAACGGAATGGGTGGGAGTCAAATGGGTGGAGGAAACGGAATGAATGGAATGGGTGGACCAAATAGAATAGGAGGACCAAACGGTAACGGAATGGGTAGTAATCAAATCGGTGGAGGAAACATAATGAATGGAATGGGTGGACCAAATAGAATGGGAGGACCAAACGGTAACGGAATGGGTGGTAATCAAATGGGTGGAGGAAACAGAATGAATGGAATGGGTGGACCAAATAGAATGGGAGGACCAAACAGTAACGGAATGGGTGGTAATCAAATAGGTGGAGGAACCGGAATGAATGGAATGGGTGGACCAAATAATATGGGAGGACCAATGGTAAATGGATATGAAATGGGTCCTGGTAACTGGCGGGGTAATTATAATGGTAATACGGGCACCAACGAAAATGATGGATACCGCCGAAGGGGAGAAAATTCAAACCAAACCTACACCTACAGCAGCACGATAGCAACTTCAGATATCTAAAAAATGTTTTTGGAAGCGGGCCGGCACAATGTTATATTTTTTTGACTTATTCAAAAATTCTTTTTTGTTAAATTCATTTATGTTACTAAAAATAAATAAAGTGTTATGCATCACAATTTCTATAATTCTTTTTTTATCGAAAGTGTTAATAACACTACTTAACTGCCAATTGGGAACAAAGCAAACGAAAAAGAGTTGTACATTTGGTACCTGATCGCGATCCCAATTCCCAATGGGAATTTTAGTTCGATTTTGTCGAGTAGTGTAATCTAACAAATTCTAAATGGTATATGATGAGCCCAGAAAAAGAACTAAAACCACAACTAAAGTGTATATATATGTATGTACATATATATACATAAACTGTGTCTAAAATCAACCTATATAGACTTGGATACAAACCCATTAATTCAGCCTCAAGTGTTCAGATGCCTTTTCAACTTTAAAAAAAGAATCATTTAATATTATTATATTAGTCTGGACGTTGATATGCAATGACTGCACCATCAAGTCGCCCTTGCGACACCAAGCCGAAGCCTGTTACGCGCGGAACCCAGGCAGAAACGCAGCCCCTCCTCCCGCCCAACCGACCGAGGGGCGCAGCCGCATGACGCGCGACGCGTGTTACCGAACCGATCGCGAGCATGCAGGAAAGATAGGTTTTAGACTAAAGTTCGAGGAAAATTAGAGCTAAACACAACTCAAAGTGCTAAACATGCAAGGATAGCTAAGAAATTGTACTAATTACGGGAAAGGTATGTTAGTATTAGTGATTTAAGAAGAGGAAGGGAATTAGTGGTGAATATTATATGGTATAGGGAATTAAAGTCCGAGCATTGGACCCTAAATGGTTCGTGCTAGGAATAATTTGATATACAAAGCGGAAGGAACAAAGGAATAAAGATTCTAGTAGATCTAATAGGAATCGTAAAGATTATGCGGCTCAACAAGTCAGGGCTATCTACGTCACCCTTGATCACCCCAAGCATTTTTCTACGACTAAGGTTGGAAGGTTTATTAAAAGCAATCTACGAGGGTAAGATGGCAGAGCAAAAAGTTTTTTTGGACTGATTCTATACGGTCCTGGTGTACTTTGTACTGGGGGCACCATACACAAGAGCCGTACTCTAAAATCAGACGATCAGGCGAGATATAGAGAGTCTTCGTTATATAGGGGTCGTCAAATTCCTTTGACGACCTCTTTATAAACCCAAGCACGCCAATGTGTTCAAAAACTTTAACTTTGGGTCTAGCTTAACACCAAGATCATCAACCAAGGTAATTCTCTCAAGAGAGTCTATAAGGAGCCAAAAAGGGGCTGGAGCGATGAAATGTCATTACCTTGCAATTCGAGGCATTTCGGTGTAACATATTTGCACAACACCATGACTGAAAGTTATTGAGATCAGATTGCAAGCGAGAGTGAAATGAAATGTCCTTACACTGGACACAGAGTTTAACATCATTCGCATACATGAGTACTCGAGAGTTTGTTAATACTGAAGGCAGATCATTAATAAAGAGTGTGAATAGAGGAAGAAGAGGACTCATTGAGACCTAGAACGAGGGAACTAGAAATCCATCTCAAAAGATTAGGCGGAAACACTAAAAGGTCAAGTTTTTGTGCTAGAAGGGAATGGTTTACAGAATCGAAACCATTCCTTACTGAAATCAGTGTAAATGACATTTTCAAACATTTTAGGAATAGCGGATAACTTAAATATACCTCTATAATTATTTGCATCAGACTTGCTACCTTTATTATGGAGCGGAATAATTAAGAGGAATCAAAGAAGATCATGAAGATCATGAAGCAGTGAGCTTTCATTTAACAAGGGGCTGAATATGCCATTCGACCTTGGCAAACTGTATGGATACGGCTGACCAGAGTAGCTTTGATGAGAATAGGTTGTTTGGAAAAATTTGGCAAAAAGATCGGCAATGATCATTGTTCGCTTACATATTGAGAAATGATAGCGAGGATGGATGTGTGGACGTTCTACGCTTACTATTTACGAAGCTGTAAAACTGTTTAGGGTGCTGTGAAAACTGTATCCTGCATCGAGATAAGTAATTTTTATAGCATTGAGCGTTAAGAACGGAGAAATTTGACCGAGCTATTACATAGCGAGGAAGAGAAGAGGAAGAACCAACTTCTCGAAATTTGTTATAAAGTCTTGATTTAGATTCTACATCTCCTCCGCTAGGGGGTCTCTGGCAGGAGGGGGCGGAAGAACCAACAGAAAATTAATTTCTTCATTCTAGCTATAATTATGATCCGATCTAATTCAGATTCGGCAATCTGGTAGATATAATCGTTCTCTACGATACTGCGTATCTTTAACGTATCGTATCTTTAAAATTGTGCCTGCCACAGATTTTCGTCTTTTGTGGGGGCGGAAGGGGGCGGGGCGAAATTTTGAAATACACTTGTAGCAGTGTGATATCACATGAGTCTGGAAACCAAATTTGGTTGCCCTAGCTCTTATAGTCTCTGAGATCTAGGCGCTCAACAAGACGGACAGACAGACAGACCGACAGACAGACGGACAGACAGACAGACGGACGGACAGACAGACATGGCTATATCGACTCGGCTATTGATGCTGATCAAGAATATATATACTTTATGGGGTCGGAAACGTTTCCTTCTCTGCGTTGCACACATCCACTTTTACCACAAATCTAATATACATCTTAACTCTTTTTTGAGTACGGGTATAAAAACACAATTATCTTTGAAACAAAATTTTAAATTGTTTATCTATAACAAAAAAGAGTTTTTCTAATAGACTTGGGGCTCTAGAATTTTTGATAAAATATTGTTTATATTTTTAAAGCGTATTTTTTATTGATTCGAAGTACTTTGAAATTCTTAAAAGCTAATGAATGCAGCTTGTGATCTCCTGGCGACATATCTCCGCGCAGACCCTAACGACATATCTTCGCGCGGAGATATGTCATTTCAGAATATACATGTCAGATGTATTTTAAAATATTACATAAATCATAAGCTCACAAAGCTACTCAATGTTAGTCTTAAGAGTTTACAGCATTTCTTTCTCCTTTGCAACTTTAAGTTTTTATGTACGTTTTTAAGGTGTAAGTCGAATATCTCTTTGAATTTGTCTGTGCGTCAGTTAAGTATGGATAAATTAACTGCAAAATACAGAGTAATATGACTTCAGAGGCGAGCAGCCATGCACTAATCCGTATTCTTAGCAAGCAACACTCAGGAATTAATATTTGTCATATTAATGCTCAAAGTCTAACCAAAAAGATGGATGAATTCAGGTACCTTTTTACTAACTCAAATGTTGATGTCATCTGTGTTTCTGAAACGTGGTTTACATCTAATATCTGTGATGTTATGATTACGTGTAACGGATACAATGTTTTTCGTTCGGACCGTGAGGGACATGCCTGACATCTAATGTAATAAGTAAGCACACCAATGAGAGTCAAATAGAGTATATCTCTCTCGAAATAAAGGGAGCCAGACAAGCGTCCAGGTTACTTATTGGCTGCATTTACAGACCAAATCGCACAACAGACTTTTCGGAAGCCATCTCAATACTGGACACAATATCATTAAGGTATGACAATGTAGTAATCACCGGTGACCTAAATAGCAACATGCTGAAAGAGCACCAGCTAAAAAATAATTTGGAAGCGATAGGCCTGCATGCTGCAAACTCTGACTACCCAACTCATTTCTCACACAGTACTGACACCCTGCTTGACGTATTTTTTGTTAGTGATCACCAAAGTATTTTATTATATGACCAAATTTCTGTGCCAGTATTCTCTAGACATGACTTAATATTTCTGACCTATAATGTTTACTTCGAAAACTCTGCCGAAACAATATATTACAGGGACTTTAAAAATATTGACTATGTTTCGTTAAGTGCTGAATGTGACCAACTGGACTGGAATAGAATCCTTGCTACAACCTCAGTGGACGAACAAGTTTCATTACTTCAGAATAACATACTGTACCTTTATAACAAATTTGTACCAACTAAATCACGCACTATTAGGCCGTCTTTAAAGCCCTGGTTTTCTGACAATATAAAGTTGCTAATAAATGCTCGAAATGTTTCGTATGAGCGATGGAAACGATACAAGACAAGCCATCACTACGCTATGTTTAAGGAAGCGAGACACAAAGTGCAGAATAGCATTAAGAAATCTAAAACTAACTATTACACGATCGAATTTCATGAAATCATGTCAACTAGCCAAAAATGGCAGGAACTAAAATCACTCGGTATCGGCAAACAGATGCCGAAATCACCACAGGTGGATATAGACCTTGATGATTTGAACAGAAAATTTGTGCAATCTACCGTACCTACTGTACTAAATAGCGTATAGCTTGACTGTGATATTTATTTTGATAATAGATTTAGCTTTGAATGTGTGTCCCAATGTGATGTTGTAGAGTCGATTCTAAAAAAATAAAACTAGTGCAACAGGACCAGATGATATAAATCCCAAATTTCTTAAACCACTGCTACCAAAGATAATACTATATATAACACATGTCTTTAATAGTGCAATAATGAGCTCGTCATTTCCTAAGGCCTGGAAAGCAGCCAAAATAGTCCCGATACCGAAGTCAAATAATGACTTTAGACCGATTGCCATTTTGCCTTTTCTTTCAAAAGCTCTTGAACGATTGCTCTCAACCCAACTTAGTAACTATATGGCAAGTAATAAACTGCTTAATGAAAAACAATCGGGGTTTAGGAAAAACAGGAGCTGTATCTCTGCAATCCTTAAAGTCACTGAAGACATCCGTAAACAAATTGATGAAGGACAGGTGGCATTCTTGACATTATTAGACTATAGCAAAGCATTCGATACCGTCAATCACGAGGTTATGTGTACAAAACTACAAAGACTATATGAACTGGACAGCAGTGCAACCGAACTAATTCATTCATACTTGACAAATCGATCACAATCTGTAGTCACGAAATTTGGGAACTCGTCATCTCTGTCCCCTACGAGAGGAGTTCCGCAAGGATCTATCCTCGGACCATTATTGTTTACTGTTTATGTAAATGACCTTCCCAATGTATTGTCTGAGTGTGAAGTCCATTTATATGCTGATGACGTCCAAATGTATGTATGCCGTCCCGTAAATAACATAAATGAGTGTGCAATAATAACCAACAGGGAACTAACAAACATAAGCAGTTGGGCAAACAATAACGGTCTAGGATTAAACCCAACTAAATCTAAATGCCTAGTAATCTCAAAGAAGGAAATCGAACTTACTAACCTACGCAAAAAAAAAATAAATCACAACACCATTACATACACAACAACAGCAAATAATTTGGGAGTGGTTTTTAATAGCATGCTTACATGGAATGATCACATTATAAAGGTCGTAGGTAGAACCTATGGTTTGCTGAGAACTTTAAACATGACACAACGTTACCTTCCAGAAAATATTCGTCTCTTAGTTGCTAAAACACTATTGATACCAACACTTTTTTATGGCGTAGAGCTATTTGCAAACTGTGATAGTAGTTGTAAGCAAAAACTGAACGTCGTATTCAATAGTATAGCAAGATATGTGTTTAATATAAGAAAGAGGGAGCATATAACCACTCATGCAGTCAGAATTCTTGGTATGGGTTTAACGAAATGGATTGACTCGCGAGCATTAATATTTTTACATAAAATTATAACCAAGAAAGAACCACCATATCTATCAGACATACTAAGGTTTACTGCATCACGAAGAACAAATAATATAGTATGTCTTAAGCACAGACTAGCTAGCTCTGAAAGACACTTTTTCATTTACACTGTTCGCCTATGGAACCAATTACCAAATAGCTTAAAAACAACTGTAGACGCATTAAAATTCAGGACAAATTTGACTATACATCTGAAAACTCTAAATTAAAAGAAAAAGAATAACATACCTCAAAATAAAATTAAGAATCTATTATGCTTAGGAGATATTTAAATTTAAATTTAGAATTAAAAATGTGTATAAAATTAAGCAAAATTAGCTATAAGAAATATTCTAATCCAACTTCATTTAATAATTAATCGTATCGGAATTTTTGTGACTAGTGCACTAATCATAAGGTACAACCTTGTAGCACTAGGAAAATCAAAATAAACAAACAAACAAACAAATTTAGAGTCGCGTCCACAGAAACTACTCAAACGTTCCTTCTCGTTTACGTTATAAATACTATACTTACCATAATATAGCATAAAATTTTGTTTTGCCAGAAATACCCGATTTTCACTGAAAATACGTAACATATTCAAATGCAGACACATAAGGAGTTTAAGCACTGTGAACCAGGACATTTTGAGAAAAGATCTTCAGAGTACGTTCAAATTGCCACGGAGATTCTACTAATTACTAGTTCCTCGTTCCGTTCTAATTAGTCCCAACAGAAAAGAAACCTCTTTTAACTAACTTTTGTCATGTTAATTGCTGCTTGAAAAGTAACATTTTTGCATATTGGAGCTTTGAGAGTGATGTGTGGGATGGATGGGATTGAGATTGAGTGTTTCCATAAAGCTAATTTTTATTAATACGCGTTCATGCTCAACTTATGTTCATAGTATGTATAAGTACAAAGAAACGTCGCCTGCACGCAAGCTGTCATTAGAGTTAGATTCAGGGGAAATTAAATTAATAAGTTAATTGGATTTGCTTGAATATGACGACAATGGTATCCAATCTCATTGATGATCACAATGACACTCCGTGAGAAGTTTCCTTTGTCTCGTTCTCCAACGCGCGTCTCGAGTACCTTTGGTTGGGTACACGTATCACTTAAGTCTGAGTCTGGTACATCGAATGGGAGAATGGAATACGAGTACGACCTGCTTCAAGAATTTCTACACCTAGCACGACTCCTTATTGCAGTCGACAAAGTTACTAAACTCCGTGGCATTTGGCGGGCCCTCGCTGTAAAGATATGTGACGGGCCAGAGGCGGGCGGCGGCAAAATCGCTAAGACTCTGCAACCCGCCAGGACGAGGCGGATGCTGGCTGTATTCGCTGCTTGCCGCAGTCGCTGGCTGCGGGTGAGGGTGTGAATGTGGCTGATGCTTCTGCTTCTGCTGCTCCTTGGGACGGGCCAGACCCAGGTGGGAGTGCGTCGGCTGTGTACCGTTCTTGCCGGGATAATAGCGATCGCTGCACTTTCGCCACTGATCAGACTCGTCGCCCACAAAGCACCTGGAAGGTATAGAATTAATTAAGCGAGAAGCCCAAAAGTGGGAGAGCGAGCGAGACGGGACGCTAACTACTTACCAGGGGTAATCGAAGCCCTTGCTGTAGCCACACGGATGGTCCGCCTTGCAGCAGTAGTCCCAGGAGCCAACCTCCGAGCCGTCCGTCTCGCATGAGTAAAATCCTGTGATCAGATTCTTCTCGCAGGGACTGCTGCGGCGGCAGGGTTTGCCAGAGACAGTGTAATGGCGCCAGGCCACGTCGCCTTTTGCGAATGAGAAGTGAATTTAGAATAGCCATCGACATGGACACGGACATGGGAATGTGGGAATTGGCAATTGGCATGCAAACTGTTGGTTAGTATTCGGGGAAGAGTTGGGTGGAACTTGGATTCGTCTTTGTTTGTTGGTTAATGGATTGGGTTGTGTTGATTTGGTGGTGTTATGGTTTTGTCAGGCAACAACTGTACATGCTAGTAATCGTTACACACAAAGCATTCTCCGCTACAAGCTAATTTACAAATTAATATTACAAATACATTGAAATACATTGCTAGATTTAGGTTGGTGTTATAGTTATGTCCCTGGGAACAGTAGCTGGATCTGGAGTCCGCTCAGGTTATTTACACAGTGGTGGAGGTGCAACAGGTTAATAGCTTTAGTTTACCAGGTTCCCGGAAGATATCCATGCGTCGATCGTTGTTCACTCGCGATCCCCCAATCGTGTTCACCTTGTCACGGCAGGTCCAGTCGAAGGGGTTCCAAGCAAAGAGCCAGAAGTCCCGCTCCTTGGTGTGCGTATAGTGGACATCGAGCTTGAGCTCCGTCTGATCGAGGTCAGAGAGTTCGCAGTTGTGGGAGCTATCGTGGGAGCTGGCAGGGTTGAAGGATGTTTTACCGGATACCGATCTGCATTTGTCCTCCACTCCACTTACCCGTAACTGAAGGAAAAGCATTTGAATGGAGAAGTCTCTCTGAATCGTATGCACTCCTTCTTGCAGGCCATCTCCGAGGGCACTGATATCACCTTCTTGATGGCCGGTGGGAGGAGTCTGGCGGGGGAGCCATAGCCCAGATAACACACTGCGATGGTAGAGGAGTCGTTACAAGGTGGATCTTTGACATTGACTCTACTACTCACACTTCTTGTGCTTCTCGTCCACGATGGGCTGGATCTCGCATCCATGCCCATAGCTGGCGCGCTCGAAGATGTCGAAGGCCGCGTCCAGGATGAGGTGGCGGTCCTTGTCCATGTCCCGCACGGGCCAGTCACTCAGTTGGCAATTGTCAATGATGCCTGCATGTCGCTGCTGGCCATATCGGTACGCAAAGGCGCGACAGGTGAATTTGGTGGAACGAATGCATTCCATTTCGCACTCCCCCACGGATCTCACGGTGAGGGAGTCGCGAACAATGGACTTGAAGAAGCGCGTGGCGTCGATGGCCCGGAAGAAACACTCTGCAAAGATCACCAGATCATCATCATCAGTCATTGTTGCGAGCGGCAATTAGCATATTGAAAAGATTATTAAAAGTGATTTAAAAGTAAACTAAAAACCGTTTAATTATTGGATAAATCGCAAACTTACGCGCGTTTCGAGGATCAGAGAGGGCCGTTTTGGTGTTGGGAGCGGCGATGTCGTGGCGACGGGGCGGCTGTCTGCACACATCCATATCGTCCGACATGGAGTATATGTCATAGTCCCGATCCGGCTCAATGTCCACGTAGTAGTCCAGCATATTGACTGGCCTGTCGCAGAGCATGCAATTGTCCCTGCCCGCCTGGTTGTACCGGTAGCTGAACGTGTGGCAGCTGAAGCTCGGCCGCTGGTCCGAGCACAGCCGCTCGCACTCTGTCAGTGTGGGCACATTGTAGGCGTGCCTTATGGCCGTTTTGTGCAGTCGGAAGCCCTCGCTGGTCTTTGCCGAACATTCTGATGTATGGATAGGAACAATGTTGATTTGATGCACTTGTCAGTCATGCGAAGGCTTTCACGTTCACTTTCACTTTGACTTACCATCCGGTCCGGGGCGTCGCGTCCACTGTTGTCTGTAATCGTTGCGCCGCTTTGGATATTCCTCCTCGTAGCTGGAGCCCGGATAACCCAGCACGGAGTTGGTCTCGCGATGCGGTGCACCGGCACCCAGCTGGAAGTAGTTGAAGTCATGGTCCTTGCGCCGTTGCGACTCACTCAGACCCCAGTAGGAGGTGTGCTTGTTGTTGCTGCCCCCGTAGCTCCCGCCATAGTTCCCCCAGTTCTCCTCGCCCCCGATCAGATACGGAATAAACTTATTGGGCTTCTTGTAGGGGCCAGGACCAGGACCTGGTCCATGACCTGCACCGGATCCATCGCGATCGAGATAATTATGGACAGGACGGCTTGGTTCGTGCGGTCGATATGGAGAGAAGTCCGGGCCCGGCCGATAGGGCGGTCGGTATTTGTCGATTCGATCTGTTTCGGGTCTTGGAGGCCTGTACGCAGAACCATCATATCCAGAACTGCTCGGTAACGTTTCCCAGCGATCTGGTCGCGCTGGACTATAGCGAGGGGGATCATGACGATCTACATAGGAGTGATCGCTTCCGTAGCTGCTGGGTGGTGTGTGGCCAAAGTAGCCAGAGCCGGAGCCGGAGCCTGGCCCATGGGAGGAGAACTCATAGGAGGAGGAGGAGGACGATGACGATGACGACGACGAAGAAGCGGAGTGCGAACCATGGTACTCGGAGGAGAATGGTCGATGTTCATAGGAGCTGCCCGGCGGACGGTCCTGTGACTGAGACGGCCCTCGATAATGGTCAACAGCTGTGCTACTTGGTGATGGAGGCCGAAAGTGATCCCTATCCCTGTCGCGATCGCGATCTCCATATTCGCTGCCACTACTGCTGGGTCCTGGTCCAGTGCTGGGCTTCAAATAAATTGGTTTGCTGCTCAAGGGACCTTTTGAGCAGTCCTGGCAGGCATTGCGCCGACAACTGGACGGCGCATTGCGATCCCTTTCGTAGTAATCGTAGTCCGGATGCCGCAGCAGATTCGAATCCCGCCGATTGGCGCTGGAGTAGAGATCCATCTGCGACAAGGGCATCTCGATAAGCTCGCAGTCGCCCTGGCCATGCCCGGAGGGGTCCAGCCTGTAGTTGAAGCCCTCGCACATAAATCTCCTCTCATGGCCGCACTCCCGCATGCATTCCTCTACCCGCTCGCAGGAGATGGAGCGACGCACCCAGTGGGGCGCGATCCGCTTCCCAGCCAAGACTCGACGGAAGCAGGCTGCAATGGAGATAAAGTTCGAGTTGGATGTGAAGATGGAGGTGGCTGGTGGCTGAGGCTCTTTACGCAATTGCGAGTAAGAAAAACTGTTTAACGCGGAAAGTCAGTGAAGCGCGGACAGAACCCAAGATCGTTGATGGGAGTGGAGTGGGTTGCTTGCTTCATGTTTCTGTTTCGGGCCGTGTTTTTCTTTTTGGCGTCACCGGCACCGCCACATCCGCTGCCGCTTCAGCAAATTATGTTCGAGTCATGTTCGGTGCCATGGCGGACACAACACCCACGTACATCATCAGCCTTCGCCAGAGATTATCTTCGGGAAAATTGCCAACCAAGACAACAGCCCAGACACTTTGTACATCTCCACGAAAAAGAACCCAGGCCAACGATGAAAATTATGCAAATTACTTTAATACGCACCACGACTCCCCCAAAAATGATATCTCAAGTGGAATGACCGAGTGGGGCAAGTGGCTAACCTCCACCTCCCGGCCTTACCTTTGGCGTCCTCCACAATGATAATTGTACTGCTCAGGTCGCTGTGCCTGGTAGGACTCACAAATTTGGCTCCGCTGTCGTGGACATGCAGCAGACACAAAGACAGAATCAAGCTTAGATTCAGATTCAGACTCAGCTTCAGACCCGGAGTCGGTGGCACTCGATTCCTGCTGGGTGACGGTGACCTCATTTTAAGGAAGACAGACTCCACTGAAGCCTCCAATTGAATGGAATTTATAATTTGGCTCACTTCTGCGTCGCTCACTGATTTCCGATTACGTAATTAGTAACTGGCGTTCTGGGCCAATTAATTTCTGTGCAATGTCAAATGGTTAGAACAATGAACGAGAGCGGGAACACGGTGGCATGACCTCTAGCATGCTAGAGCATGCAGGACACGGCAGATACGCGAGAACGATTTTGGATGATTTGGGACAATTTCGGGGGCCAGAACGACACGCGGCGACGGTGATTCTAATAGCGAATGAACAGCGGCTGTGGTCAAGCTTGCGGTTTTATACGAGTGCCGAGCTAAGCTTTTCGCTCGGCTAAACTCTCTTGCTCGCGCTCTCTTGATCGCTCTCAGTTAAAGTTTCGCACTGCCATGGGGATTCTTTACCCCTCTCCGCGGGGCCCATTGTGGGGGAGTATCGTCTGAAGCCTTGAGTCTAGTTTAATGAGAGTTTTTTTGGAAGAAGATTGCTTATCTCGAGCGATGGTTCAGATGAAAATACGAGGGTACATATCGCATGAATGTGATTTGCCCCAGGCAGATCTGCCAGCCGATGCGATGGATGAGACGAGATCCACGATGCAGCCAAGCGTTTCCATTTGGACCCGACGACCCGCACCCCAGTCAAGGATACCATAATATACGTACTCGTACTTACACCTATTATATTATTTTATTATCATTATGCTTTCAGTAAACTACCTTAACTGTTACTTGGTTAATGGCTATGCCCGAGTCTATTGCTTAGATACTCGTACTATGAATAGTAAGAGTCAGGGGATCCCATGTCAGTATTTCGATGAGTTTAGTTAATGGCCCTGCAATATATACAAGTTTGCTGCTTGGGTCTTTTGTTGCCTAAAAGGATTTCCAAACCTAAGCTACACCATGTATGGTTCCTTGACCATCAATCATTTTAGATGCTATGCATACACATATACATATGTATGTATATATGTACATAAGTAAGTATGTATGTAGAAGCTACAGGTACAAGAGAGCTTGAGCGCATTTCCGTTTTTGAATCAATGTCACTACTGGCTACTGGTATGCACCACGAGTGTGGGGGAGACTCTGTGTTTTTGTGCATTGGCTTTGTGGTTGGATTTGCATACAATGAATGCCAGCGGAGGGAATTGCATCGCAATTCAAGTGCATGCATAGTGCAATTCTCTTTGGCTGTACTGCTCTTGCACAACTCCATGCATAGCCGAAAAAAACGACACTGACGTGTAGGAATGAAGATTCCTCGGAGCTTCCGCCTCCGAGCAAAACCAAATTGAGCTGTGCTCCAATCTTCAAGTGTGAATTACGATCTGTCCCACGCTAAATAGTGAACTACCTAACCAGCAAACGAACAGAACACGCCACCTCAGAGCCGAATCAACAATTAACTACGTTAACGTCATCAAGTTTGCCATTTGAACTTGGATTCGCTTGGCACTTGGCATACGGTTATGGTTATGTCACCGCCACCCGCTGCTACGGTAGAGTTCATGTCCCCACTTCGTCACACTCGGGGAACTCGAAGTAAAGCTGAGCCAAAAGCTTACACAGAATTGTTCTTTGATGAAATTTTTAGAGCTATCATAAATCCTCTGCACTTGACAGCTGAATGCCTTCTCTAAGAAATGAGATCACTTTATCTAGGGAGTTGCGATTACAGCGAATTACAGCGAGTCCCTCCATTGTTATACCCTTGCAGAGGTAATTATGATTTTAACAAAGCATAAAAGCAAACATGGAAGGAGATGCCCATGAAGATACATCCTTAGGCTCCTAAAGTTGAATTTCTTTTTGGTTTGATCTGATCTGATTTCCTTGTCTCTGTATCAAAAACTCCCAAATGAATATATGTATGTACCTTCCCATTCACCCTACTTGGTGACCTAGTAAGAGTATTCCAAACATTGTTAAGCTTTTGCTTCATAGTAGAATGCGAATTTGTAAAATATCGAACCGCCCACCCACCGGACGCGATGTGACCAGAGCTGGCGAGAGACGAGAGACTGTGCATTATGCCAGGCTAATGGGTTTATTTTTGTTGGCCGAATAAAAGGCACAAGAATGTGGGTCATTGAGTGGCTGCTCGGCTGTCTGTCTGTCTGTCTGTCTGTCACCTGTGTGGAGTGGACCCCAAAACCAAATGAGTTTTAGCTGTGCGCCATGTTAGTTTTACATTCAACTAGTAGCAGATGTTGTAATTGTCAAGTGACCCGCGTCACTGTCTGTTACATGGTTAGTTGGAAGCGTACGGACGGGCGGGTACGGTATTAGTTTCTGGGACAGTGCGAATCCGAAAATTAGTACGGGTAGAAGGGAAATCTGGCTCAAAGAGACCTGAAGGGACATCGATTCACTTACCCTTTAGCTCTTCCATGGGATAACCAAGGCGATCGTGATCGCGATCCCGGTCTCTATCTCTGTCGCCCATAGGCCGCTCTGAAAGTGTGCCATGGAGACTCCATTACAGTCCAGAGATCATTCAGATTGGATTATCATCATTTAACACTTACTGTGGTTCCCGTTCCCCTGAATGTAGTCATCAGGATTGAAGTAGGTGGCAATGGTCTTGTCATCGTCCACACTGTATCCTCCATACCCGTCTCCTGGCCGCATTGCGCTTCCATTGCGTCGCACGTAATCGTCGCCGTCGTGTGGGGACTGCAACGGCGGATCGGGTCGATTGGTGTAGTCCGGCCTTGGTGGAGGAGACGGATAGTCAGGAAGCGGCGGCCTAGCTCCATAGTGGGGGCGCTCATCCGAGGATGCGCTCGGGATGGGAGGTCGCATGGTGGGCGGTGTGTACCGCTCCGGGCTGCCATAGCTGTAGCCGTTTCCGTATCCCAGCCCGAATATGGGACGCGGGGGACCGTGGGGTGTCGGACGCACTGCCTCCTCGTCCAGGGATGGTGGGCCATAGTGGGGTCGATGATAGTGGTCTTCCACCTCGGGGGCGTTGGCCGCGTAGCCGCCCGGGATGTAGACGTCCTCGTTGGGAGCCGGATAGTTGTTCTCGTAGAGGGCGGGGTATTTGTACAGGGGATACAAGTCGTGCGAGAAGTACAAACGATCGCCGAGACCAGGGGGCGGCGGCATTGAGGGTGAGGGTCCCGGACCCACCGACGGCGTAGAGATCGTGGGCAGCCGCAGCGGCGGCTCATCCGTGTGCGGAGTGGGGTTCACGACCAGCACTGGAGTGTTACCCACGTCCAGCGGACGATTGGGCAAATTCGCTGGGGTCGGTCCATGGCTGATAGGGCTGGGACCCGGTCCGGGGGCAATCGAATTGTCGCTCAAGTCGAAGCAGTTCGTCTTGCGAGTATATAAATCAAAGTCGGGATCGAAAATCACGCCTCCCGGCCGCCCACCGCTGCCCGAGCCGTACTGCTCCGACGACAACTGACATGTGCCGTTTCCGCGTCGATGCACACTGCAAACAAAACAGAAACGAATTGAGAGGGCCGCAACCAAGACGGAGACCAAGAGGCTGGTATTGGGTAATGGCCGTGTGACAGCTTGAACTCACCCGAATGAGATGGCCTGGCACCTCTCGCCCGCCTGCAGGCACTTCTCCTTGCACATCTTCAGCGAGTTGGTGTCTTCGGTGCGGAAGGTCTTCTCAAATGGCAGCATAGCCTCCAGTGCGATCCGCTCGAAACAGTCTGCCAACGATTCCAATTCAAATAAAAACACAATCATCCAACAATTGCAGTACTCAAAGGTTGCTACTTGCGACCTGCAGTTGGGTAATGGACATCGCGTTCGAAATGGAAATGGGAGCAGGAAAATGAAAGCCCCCACCCCCTCTAGCCCACGGCAGCAGTGGAGCTCGCATTGCGTCACCAGATAGATGAGCAAGTTCCACTTGCACTTTCAAGGCCACCACTCAGTGTAGCGGGTGTCCAGTGGCGGTGCTCCACTTCATCCACTTTATGGTAGGTTAGTTTTATTGACTCTGCAATTGTCGCTTTCCGATTGTTCGCCATTCCGACGGCTTTGTTCTTTATTCAAATTGGAATTGTATTAACTTTGCGTGCCGCGGGGACGCAGCTGACTGCCATTAACATTAGCCCATCTGCGACGCATAGAAGCTCCTTTCTTCTCCAAATAAGTGGCTGTCAGTATGCGAGTGTCATGAATAATTCAAAAAGGTCAAACACACAAACAAAACACTTATTGTGGCTTCTGTGGTTTTGACATGCTCCATGCCCCATGGTTTGGTTGTCAACCTACGAGTTTGTATGGTTTTTGGAGGGACGGATTAAAAATTATTTCCCGTTTTTCCTTTTCCCTGATATCGATGAATAATATTTCATGTCGAGGTCGCGAGGCAGTACGAATCTTACTGAGAGAAAGGGAGATGGTCACCCATGCAGTGAAACCGATTGCAGCTAGGTTAGGCAGTATGATATCTCAACTTTGCTATGTATGGGTATCAATTGAACTTAATGGAGTCTGACAATCTTCCTTCTGGCTACTACATTTACACATAATATATTTATTTTTTTATCCACTCCACCCCCTCCGACGCGTCATCGCACTTACCATTGCGTGCGGAAACCAACTGATTATCGACAGTTAGTGCCGCTGTGGATTGCCAGATGCCGAGGAGAACGTAGAGCGTCCAGAGCATCCGAAGTAATCGCCCACTGAGCTGTTCATCCATAATCCGAATCATGGGGCCTCAAAATAGTTGTAACTTGTGGAACCGTGGATATCCGTATTGACAGTATGGACAGATTCACTTGTCTCTTGTTTCACAATCGTGTTTGGGTTCACTTTACATTATTAGAGGGTTTACTTTACAAATTCTGGTTAGAGGCAGAGGATTGTCTGCACCGCACTGTTTGGACGGACCGGAGATGGCGAACTGAAAGACAGGCAGCCACGCGAGGCGCGTAGAAACCTTCTTCGCTACGATTATTTCTCCTCTTTCTCTCTGGCCTTTCTTTATACGAGTAGTAGTCACAGACGCGTGTTAGTGTGGACTTTTATTATTTTTATTTCTTTTCGTGTTGGAGTGTTTCTGGCTTTCGCGTTACGTTTCGCTACTTTTCACATTCTTTCACCGTTAATTATGTTGCCAAAATATGCAGATCATTATAAAAGATCCACAAGATCGGTTGTGGGATCGTCTCTTTCGCTTATTTATGGGCTCAGCTCAGCAGAAAAGTCTGAAGATTCTACAGTTGCGGAAGAGACCAAATCTACATAATTACCCAAATGAGTATTGGGCTGCATGTAACTGAGAGTGGGAAAGAGATAGCCAGAGTCAATAACCTGGTCAACGAAGCGCTTCGGCTCGGATCGGATCGGCTCGGAGCTTCCTTGACGATGGTGACGCCAGATTTCACCAGAGGCACCGGGTGCCTGTGACCTTTCGACCAATGTTTAGAAACGAAGAATTGCCCAATAATTAAAAACTCGAATGACAAAGTGCTCATCAATGCGTAAATCCAGCATTTGTCATCATCACAACAACCGAACCAATCCGACCCGAGTTGGCCAAAAACCCCAAAAAACAAATTAATTTTTGTATTTTTATTTGCCGACTTTGATGGCTTGAGAAGGAATCTTGATGATTAATTAGAGACTGAGTGAAGCGGTCCAAAGGCTTGTGGCTGCCGGTTGCACCGAACACTCGAGTATACTCGCAATAAAATATACTAGTGTATATGTAAAATTGTTTAGCCACTTTCTTCTGTGGACCCTGGATTTGGGGCAGCTTCTTCAATGAGAAACACGGGTATGGCGAATGTAACGGTATGTTTTAATCGAAAGCTTCCGTTGCGCTTTGACACTGCGAATTTCTTTTGGCTAATGACAAGAAATCTCTCTCTGTCTCTCTCTCCCGCCCACCCACGCAACACAGCGCAGTTTACACTCACTAGCTTTGGATTTGCTTAGCTTTGCATTGGATTTGGAATGAATTTTTGCAACCCGCTTTCAATTCTGATTTTCGTCTCGATTCGTTTGGTCTGCTTTCGCTGCGACTGGAACTCGCCGCCGATCCGCACTCGCTAAACAATTGAAACCGAATAAAAATTCTGATTTAGTTGTGTTTGAAATTCATCGAAAGAGCAGAAAGCAAAGCAAGCGGCAGCAGCGCTGGCTGCGCAGAGACAGAGACACAGGCAGAGCAGCGGCGCTCACAAAGCTTTTGTTGTATGGCATTTAGATTCGAACTCAGGTGGGACATCGGGGGGGTCTGGGGCTGGGGCTGGCACTGGAGTTTAGCTCCGCAGATCGTCATCATCATTATCATCATTAGCATTGCCCATGCTGCGCCCACTCGAGAGCCCTATTGCTGCTTGGGAGTCCGTCCTCCGCGTCTTCTTTCCGCCTAATAGCTGGCAATGACTCTCGAAAAACGTTTCAAACGAAGTTGTAACAAGAGGATCGAAACTGAAAGATAAGCGAAGCTCGAATGCTCTTGTTATATTGTTTCATGGCAATCACAGATTAGTCGATCTGGTCATGTCCAGTCTGGAAGGGGGAAAGAAAGCCATGCCCACACACAGACCGAAAGCATCCACTTTACTTACAGCTTCACTTTTAAGATAAATATATTATTTAGTTTCTATAAGTGTCCCTATTATCAAGGCGATACAAATAAATTGTTCTTTCGAGCTGCTCTTTTGCTTCGTTGTCTTTTAAACTCGCATGATATGAGCTCATATTGAATGTACCTGGAAAATGCAGGGTACCAACAGAAGTAGACTCTGCTTTGCGTGATTATGGCTGTGTGCGAGTGTGCGCGCAATTAAAGGTAGAACTCTTCGTTGCAAGGTGGGAGTTAGTAGAGCACTCCACTCGAATTAGAAACGCACCCGAATCCGAGAATCTTTCTTTTCCGCTTTGTTAGCCCCACTAAGCGATGAGAAATTCAAATTTAACGGACACACTGGCCACACATGCATTTGGCTTTGGCTTCGTCTTCGACTTCGTTAGTCGATGCCGAGCAGATGCTTGCTGCTCAACCGTTAATTCGTACGGGTTTACACCGAAAGGGAACGAAAGGGTGGAGGTTGGGGAGGTAATTGGCGACACCTTTAAGTGTCGACCTTGTCATGCTCGCTGGCGTCGTCTAATTCAGGCCGGGGCTGTTCTTCATCACCGCGTCGACATCACATCACATCACCATTGCCACTGTCTGCGTCTATGCGCAAGCGTCGCTGTTCGCATCATCGACATCGAAGCTAGCGAAGTCGCCAGGAGACTCGGAAGGAGAATAAATTCGGTAAAAAAGCTTAAGAAATGAGCTCATGCTCATTCTGGTTCCTTCATTTGCATATCTGGAATTCTTGGGAATTCTGAAGGCGTGGAGCAACAGCAGTCGCCAGTGTTCTCCGTGGCCGTGGCCACGCCCCCAAATAAGGTCACTTCTAGAAGATTGCCAAATAGTAGCAGGTAACGGTATTAGCGGACTAAGCAAATGTTTCAAAATAATTTATTTGTGTGAATTTTTTGTGGGAGGCGCTGCTCCACATCCGAGTATCACATGAATGCAGCAGGCCCCAACAAAGTTTGTTTGGAACTTGGCCCTCCGACCCAATCCAATATCAAAAATCGCATCAAATTTCATTCAAAATTCAGGGGGCGATCGGCGCTTTTGCCGGACGCATTGCGCCTGCCAAGTGGGCAGCCACTTGGGAACGCTGCACAGTGGTGCACTCGCACATTTCAGCTTGCTAAATTCATAGCTTCTGAGCAACAAAAAATATTTACGTAAAAAAACACTATGTTTGAAAGGAAATTTTTTCGAAATACAGTCTGTGTGAGTACAATGTGATGTCTAGAAGCTGTATATGTTGTCAGCTATCTATGTTGTCCAAATTGAGCAGTGCAGTGCATATTTGCCTACAAATTTGCCGCTTAATTCCACTACACAATAATTTCATATATAAACTTTAACTAAATCTGATTTTTTAAAATATGAAATAAATTTAACTCTGAAATTCTGTGTGTTGTATTTTTTTATTCTACGCTTTTTCTTATGCTGGCGACACATTTAATTCTAAACGGCCCTTTTTCGCAAAGTCTGCACTGATATATGTATGTATATATGTACATATGTATGTACATACATACATGTACAATCCGACATTTCCATTTTGATAGCTCCGGACTCCATACTACTTGGCAAACCATTTGCCGCTGAATTGTGACTTAGTTTAATGAGCGAATGGACTTTATGAATAGGATAGGTTTGAATCTGGATCCGTGCTGATGAGCTAGCCGTTCAATTGCTCAGGTGGTGTCTCAATTTCAGGTAGTTGCACTTTTTTTGATGCCCGACACATACCATCTGAATCATGTTTGAATTTAGGGACATAAGTTAGAACTTTCGGATGTGTCTTGTCGGATTTGTTCGTCAGTTTTTTTGCTCTCACTGATAAAAATCGGTAAGCAAACCTTTCACAGTCAAAAAACAAGTAACACACACACACAAATAGATCAAATATATATTTGTTTATATTTACATTTCAGATGGGATATTTGGATATTGTTTTAAAATTGTGGGTAGTAGTAGGAAGGTGAAAAATACTTTACGAACTATTCGCAGACGTTTGGAAGGTGTTCAAAGATAAGAGAAGAATATTAATATTGACTTTTTCACCCATTTTCGACTGATGTCCCACTGTTGGCCGTTGCTAGCATTTCTGTGTGAAAATTCAATGCGCAGCGCGTGTCTAAAAACAGATATTGGCGGCAGATACAACTTCGAGTGGGTTGATCGTGGGTGGATGGCTGATACGCAGGAACCATCAACCAGCTGGCTGACTGGGGGCTCCTCCATGTCATGTAACACTTATCGATTGGGTAAACGGTTTCGGCCGGAGCGCATACATTTTGTCAAGAGGTGATTGACAGTTGTGGGCCAGCAGGAAGCCCTAGCTGATCGAAATTTACAAAATAAAATGCACAGAGTGGATCTCCTGCAAATTCGTTGGCTTCTGAAAAGTATGAGTAAGAGATAATAATCAGGTTTTCGTTTCCTATGAACGATTCGTGGAGAACGTCAACCATTTATACTATATGTATGATCAAGGTTAAACCATTAATCAACCTGTCCAATAAAACAGCTTTAGCCAGCTAATCGGCTTTGAGGCAATTTCTCTCACGCATAGAAGAAAGAATTTCCAACGTAATAGTGTACGAATCTGGTAGTGCTTTTCGCATTTGAATATATGTACATGTACATATGGACGTATTAGTAACATATAATATTTAACTTTAAGTATTTCGAGCTTTTTCCTCTGAAACTGGTCTCTCTTTCTCGTTTTATTTCTTGGGGCCAGCTGTTGTGTGTGTTGTAGCATCATATTCACAGAAAAAACACAGCATCATATGCAGCAACAGCTGTTTGACCACCAGGCCACAGCCCCACAATGACCGAGTCCCAGTCCCAGACCCAGTTCCCAGTTCGAGCTCCTGTGCGCAACAGCAGGGTGGTGTTCCACATTCGCACTGCTGTTATCGAAAACTCACCGAGCAGGAAGTATTTGCATTTGCGCGTCCACAGAAAGCGAAAGTAATCATCCAGAGCAGCAGTCGCTGCGGCGGATCATTGTCTCGCTATAGGCACGCACGGGACAGGAGAGGTGGGTTCCACCGCGTATTTATCACAACAAATATCCATTATGCAATTGGCCATGTCTAAAACGAGCAATTTGCCACAATTGCACCAACATCCGAGGGAGAGTTGGGGCAGAATGGGGATGGCGCGCGCCGCGCGCGCGCCCTCAGAAGCAAAAAAGCACACTGGCCTACATATACATACATCCATACATATTTATGTATGTACATGCACATATATGTATGTATATACCACCGAGTGGAGTAGACTCCACTCATGCTCCCAACTTTACCGATTCGAATGGTGAATGTTGTTAACAGTTTTGTTAACAGAGTTGCAACATTGCAGCGTGCATTAGCTATTTTAATGTTGTATCAGGCACAGAATGGGAAACTACGAATCGAACACCTGTTCAAATCGTGTGGGGCATTACTCGATTAGCGCTGTTACCGTTAAGTAATTGCCCCGAAATGCGTTTTATTGCAAATTTCATTTATCTTATGTGAAGCGCGTCTGGTACGTGTTTCGTGATTTGATAATGTCAATATATACATACATACATACATACATAAGACTATAAATACACATATGTACATATATATTGTGTGTGCTCTCTCTGTCTCCTGTTATTTCCATGCTGACCCATATTACCGGAAAGCAGTGCGACACCGGTAAATAAATACATAAATATGTACGTATGTATAGTCGGCTATTGTAGCATTCAAGGTCGTACGCTCAAGATGTTTTCAACCTGATATATGTAGAAGGGACTGGACTGGATTAGTGTGACAAGTTCGTTGTGATTCGATTCCGTCTCTTCTCTTCAACGTTCACTTTTCGGTAATGTTCAGTGATGATTTCTTCAGAAGGCCGCTAAGGCTAAGTGAGCCGTACCGTTCAATAGTGATGTCTGCATGTGCCTGTGCTACTTGGTCGTTCACTTGGAATGATTTCCCTTCCCATCCCATCCCCCTCCTTGATACTTCGGAGCACTGGCAGAGGGCCTGGCCACATTGTCGCGATTATGAAATTAATGTAATTTGTATCATATTACACAAAACATCACCGAGCTGCAACTACATCATTGTGTCTGCCGACGACAGTCAAAGTTCGATTGTCTGCGTCATCCAGCTGCGGCTGTGGCTGTGGCTTCATAGCTTCATCGTTTGCCAGCAAGTGAAGCATGGACAGACGACGCGACGTCAGCCCAGAGCGGTCCTAACCCTCGTAAACAGAAGCAGCCAGAAGAGTCAAAAAGATATATGCACATACATACATACATACATATATGAACATGCATACCCCGTTTATACATATGTAAATACATATCTGTAAGTTTGAAAATTTTTAACAGTCGTCCACTTTTGCTGTTGCTGCTGTCTTGCGTCTTGCGCACGCGTCCCCGTCACGTTTGTCTTGCGCAGCGCAGCGCAGTCGCCGCCGCCCGTGGCTCGACTCGGCTCGTTGTGGCGCCTGCATTGGGGGTACGAGTATAAAACAGATGGGTCGCCAGCCTGTGGTTATCAGTCAGCGGCAGGCATTGAAAGTGCTTCGGTTTTCGCCATTACAGTAGTATTTCCATTGAAGAAGAGTTTGTGATTTTGTTTGACCAAATATGTCCGTCCTGAAAGTATTCGTAAGTGTTAAACGCACAGAGGATCAAGTGCAGCAAGTGATTGAAGAAAGTGGTTAGATGTGATGATGTACATACGAAGGACAACGGTGCAGATAGAGGATTTGCTCTTCAAGTTCTGATGATTAAACTCCAGATTGGAAGATCTTTAGACATGAAGATCCATAAAGAAAAATTCCCAGCTCCAAGCTCCAGCTCATTCATCCTATTGCTTAACCTCTTTCAGATCATTTTCGCCCTATTGGCAGTGGCTTGCTGTGCGCCCAGCCCAGGCTTCTTCGGCAAACAGTGAGTATCTCTACTAAAAATATACTCGCACCCCATAAATAACCAGCGCGAGTCGATAAAATAGTGATTTCCGATTCGAATGTCTTTTTAAACGCTGGCAGTGAGATAAATATGAAATATTTATTCGATTATTGAGCAATCAAGCTCTGAGCTGATCGGCAATGCAAAAATACAACACAATCACCATTGAACTTACCCCGATCCGATTCATTTTCCGCCGCATAGGAATTTCCCAGGCTGCGATTGGCACTTAATTCATTATAATGCACACATAATTGCCTGACTTAATTGCAAATTCCGAGCATTGATCGCCGTGGTTGTTGTCTGCTGCCTGTTGCTTGCTGCCAAGTGACAACCGACCACTGCTCGTTGCGATCAGCAGGGTTCAAGCAACTGAAGTAGAGTTGACTATCTGATTAGCTAATATTCGAAGCGACGACGACTGCCAATTGCTCCCAGCTCTTGGACTTTACTTGATTTCACTTTCATTGGTTTCCCAATTCTCGTCAATTCGCAGTGAACATCACACGATCCACGTTCCATACAAGGTCCACACGGTGCACCACCATCATGTCCAGAAGATCCATGTGCCTGTGGTGAAGCACGTGCCCATTTACAAGGAGGTTCCTGTGCACCACGTCCACCACGAGGAGATCCCAGTGCCCGTTCATCACGTCCACCACGAGGAGGTGCCAGTCCATCATGTCTACGAAGATCACCACGATTACCACGGACACCATGGACACGGCTGGATCTAGGGCGTACATACATATGTATGGAAACATACAAAGAAACCCCCAACCCAACCAAACTCAGCCCAACCCTCCTGCCTGTAAATACTGTACAATTCCTAAGTTAATGATTGTAAATAAACTGAATTCGATTGTATGCTCTGAATTGGATTGGATCACATCATTCGGACAGTTCGTATCGGTATCAGTCACATGCAAGATTATAATTTGCAGTTGCACTTGACCTTGGGCAGCGTCTAAAGGCGGCAATTAAGCCGGAGTTTTGCAAGAACGACTTTCACAAAGCACTCACCCAACCAGCTCCAAGCTCCATCTGAGGTCAACCTCCAGCCAGCCAGCCAGCCAGCCAGCCAACGCTTGGTCTGCTCTGCTCAACCGACGTACACGACGCGTGTTGTAAGCCAAGGGCGGGGCACGCCACATTCCGGTTGCATGACAGAGAGTGGCACTCCGTACAGATACTCGCAGTTCCTAGTTCTCCCGCTCCGCTCCCGATATTCAAGCACGAGAATGAATTTCGGTCGAACTAGCGAATGTGAGGCTAGCCGCCTCACTCCATTCACTTCCCACTTTTGGTTGCCTGGGGGATAAAACCAGCTCTCAAGCTCTGATTCTTTGACCAACATGCATTTTATTCGGTTTTATGCGACAACAACAGAATTTGAAATCAATTTTCACTAATTGAGAACTTAGTGCGAAGCGTTAGGGGAAGCGTCGGGAAAGGGATAGATAGAAGAGTGGATAGAGACGATGGAATCCTCGTCATCCTGGTCGCTCTAGTGGCAGTAGGGGAAGTTGGGGCACTCGTGGGGAGAGACTCCGGCTGGGTAAAGACGCTCTGTCCAGCCGGGCAGCGGAGGAGCCGCAACAGGTGCGCCAGCGTGTCCGGCATTCACGTCGCAGTACGGATAGTTGGGGCAGGTCTGGGGATTGATACCAGCGGGATACTTGTCTCCGCCTGCAGCAGGCGCAGGTGGCGCATTCCAAGAGGGCTGAGGTTGCGGCTGCCATTGTTGCTGTTGCTGCCATTGAGGCTGGGGTGCCGCATTCCAAGAGGGCTGAGGTTGTGGCTGCCATTGTTGCTGTTGCCATTGATTCTGGGGGGCTCCCCACTGCGATTTGGGGCTGTGCAGTCGCTCATTATCACAGATTGGGAAGCCGGGGCAGTCCTGTGGGTTCACGCCGGCCGGATACTGCGCAGCAGGTGGATGTTGGGGCTTGGCAAGAGCCAAAGCCAGACAGGAGGCGAACAGCTGAATGAGAACCGAGATGATTGGTTGCGCCTTGGAGGAGGAAGAGGAGGCCTGGCGGCTTCGATTCACTTACCAGCTTGAAGAACATAGGGACGAATATAGGGGAATAATCCTTGACCAAATTGGACTATGAGTCGATGGCTTAAACTTCCAATTAGGTTCTGTTCCTGGTCAGCGCTGCACTGTTGCTGCGGTGAGCAGCCATCGGGCTTATATAGCGGATGCTGGTGCAGGCTAGAACCGAGTCGAGTCTGGTCTCACTCTCAGTTACAGTTTCAGTCTCTCGGTCTGAGTCGGTTTCACTTTCATTGGCAGCTCGCAGCGGCACCAGCAATTGCTGGTGCTGTGGTTGTTGCTTTTGTAGTTGACTGATCTCGCGCATATTTTACTTGATTGGCCCAACAGATTATTATGAGTCTTTGTTGCGGAGCGCGAACAAATAAATCGAACGGGGCCGGCTGGAGGAACGCATACGTATACGTACCGCCGGATCGAGAGACGGACATGAATGCAGCATTCATGTAAGGTAATATGCTTAAGCACTCGCTATGCGAACACATACTCCTGCAGACATACTCGTACTTCTACGAGTAGTATCCAAGGTGTATGAAGGTGTGTACACAGATAGTTTTGAATATCGAGTTACAGACATGCCGTCATTAGCAATGAACTAAGCCCCCGACTTGCAGTTTGGCCAAAAAGATATCTCTGGGTTGGTTTTGTATTTTGACAACTGCGCGTTGGCGTTCGGCCAATTTTCAATTTTCAATTCCCATTTGCCAGTCGCTGTTGTTTCTAGTTATTTTGCCGGCCCTTGTCTCGCCTTTGCCTATGTTGAGGATCAGTTCGTGAATCACTTTATTCAGAGCATTTCGGATAGGATCGTGTAAGAGGCCATCGCCTTGGCATGCCACATGCTGCCGACGCCTGCCTGCCTGCCTGCCCGGAAGGCAGCTCATTGGAAACTGGTTTTAGTGCAGCGAACTTGCACTAGATCTTACTCTTAATGCACAATACACGTATTCGAGAGGTGGCCCGAGGTGCACTTCTACTATGTTAGGGATGGGATAGGGATATGGGTTCTATACTCTATATTATATGGATGTATGTAAATATACTGCAGATGCGGTTAATCATGAGGATTTGAATAAATCGGACCTTTCTTGGAGTTTAATTATGATCTGTTTTTTCCATCCCTAGTCTTGGTTTCCTTTCCCCTTTGGCAATTCTGCCTTCCATAACCCGTTATACTGGCTGCTTTGGAGGTGATTTTTACCCCTCAACGCATGCGGAACTGGAGGTTGAAATTAACTTACGCACCAACGCGCGCACTACTCTGCGACTTCCTGGGCTGGCTACGTCACAGACACAGAACCGATGCAGAGTTCATTGGAAAATTCAATTACATGGCATGTAACTGGCAGTGCCACACAAATTATGAGCTAATCAGGCAGCAGCCATATGACACACATGCACATATATGCACATATGTGCATGAACATGTTATAAAGGTGGACGGGGACTGACGGACGTGCCCAATTGTTGGCAACGGTGTAACAGATTTAGTTTAATTCTTATAATTTGTGTTTGCCGCCAGCCATTGCCAGGAATTTGCGCGGGCGCGGCCAGTCCAGTTCAGTCTAGTCCCGTCCCGCAATCGCTGCCTGCCTGTTCTGGTCTACGACTTGTAGGTGGTCGTCGCAGTCGCTAGCCTGCCTAATGCGTTGTGGTACGTTGCTCCACCGCCAGCCGATCGATCTTGTTAGCCTTGATCAATGGCCCGGAAAAAATAGAATAGAGAATAATAAAAGCCAGCGAAATTCAAATGGTTGACCGTTCGCAAAGTGCAGTCTTTGTGGCCAGTCCCGAGCGCGGCACAGCCCTGGCTGGACCAAAAGCATCCATGTGTTTGTTCTCCAGCTTGTAAGTTGATATGGGCTAGTGCTGCTGCTGTTGGGTATATCGCGACTGTTTTCAAGTATTCCTTTTTTGTCACTCGGCGCGTTTTAAATTATTATGCCATTAGTTGTCGCCTTATTTTGTCAAGACTTTAATTGTCTACTTCCTTCTATGCTGACAGCTCCAGTGCGAGCACTGGGTGTGTTGCAAGTCCAATGCATATGGCGGTGTGGTGACTTGATTCAAAACGATTAGAGAAAGCGGCTGGACGGAGTTTTAGATGCAACTTGCAAATTGTATTCAGTTCAATATCTGCACTTTAACAATTCTATTAAATTCAACCTAACAGAAGTAAATTTTTCAAATTTTCTTACCAACAAGGTGTTAAATAAGTAAACTAACAAGCAAACCATGTTTAAACATTGCTTAACTCGCGCCTACAACAGATGATGGCGATCGTTTAGGAGCTGGATGCAGCTTCAACTTCAGCATCCGCTTTGATATCGGCCACCCCAGCAGCTTTTTCAGCTACAGCCTCGGTAGTTTCAGTCTCCGTTGCTCCTATTTCCGTCACCGTTGGTGCACTTTGGGCATTGGAAGTGGCCTCAGCCTCGTCCTTATCAGTGTCATTTGTAGGCACATCTTGTAGCAGAGCCCGGCGCGTCAATTGCTCTTTATCTAAAAGATAACATTCTGTTAAAGAGTCTGTTGTACAAAGAAACTGGAAACGGTACCAGAGTCGTAATCATCTGATGAATCGCTGTCGGAGCTACCGATGCGATTGTTTGACGTTGGAGCTTGCTGATTTAGGGAGAGACGAGGAGCCACTGGTCGCTTTTTGCGCGCTGGATTCAATGCATTGCAAAAGGCACAACGAAATGAAGTGTAAACATATTCATCCTCCGGCAGCATACCTATTGGAGGAACAACAAAATTTTCTGACTAGAGTGACATGGACATGGCAAATCAATTCAATTCTCACCGTTATGGCCATCGCACTCTTTGCAGATCATGCCGTACCGAATCGGAGTGTCTCCTACAATGAAGTCTACAATACGGTCCACTGCGCTGCGTGACCGGCTCTGATCGACCACGGGAAAAGGCGTACGCCGACGCATTTCCTGCACTGTGCCCACATTCGGAGATGCTGACGTCATCGACTGTGTCGAGCTGTTTAGATTGTTGTTATTAACGTTGCGGTTGCGGTAGACACTGCTATACGGAGTCAACGATCTCTGCTGCGTACTGGCTCCTGGCAATCTTGCTGCAGGCTGTGGCGTGCGTTGAGGCTGCATTACGGTGGAACGACTAAACGACTGGTTTAGTTTCTTGTCGCCGAAGCGTTCCAGGAGATTCACTGCCACCTGGTAAAGAAAATAGCGATAAGCCAAGAAATTGACATATAGTTGCCATACGGGCTGCACTACCTTGTAGGTCTCTTTGTCCATGACCTGCTCCAATATCTTTTTCTTCTTCTCCTTCAGCTGGGCCAGCTTATCGCCATTTTTGTTGAGCTTGCGCTGAAAGTACCACGTAAACATCTGCCGCATCAAGACGATGCTAGTGTGCAAAAAGGCAGAGATTTGTTTTGGCGCGTCATTTCAGTGATCTCATCACCAAATGGTGATGCTTACTCACATAATGGGGAACAGGAGCAGCGGCACCAAGTACACGATGCGCTCTTTCCAGGTCGGTGGAAAATAAAAGCAACACCATAGTCCAAAGCCGACGATGTATGCGCCAATTGTGATGCCAAGGAAGTTTGTGACGAAGCTCCGCTTCCTCTCTTGCGTATTAATCATGTACTTTTCCAGGTCTTTGATCTGTACCTGCAGTCCCTCCAGAACCTCCTCCGTCGATTTTTCCTTCTATAATTAGAATCATGGGCACGTCATATTTTAAAATCCATGCAAATGTGTTTTTTTTTTGCTCAAAACGCACCCGAAATTTCGACAAAACGAATCCCATCTTTAAGTCTTTGAAAAAAACTGGGAAGGGATCAAACGTAAAACATTTATTTTAATATTTTTTCTAAACAGCGGGCTGCCTTGTTGTTGTTTGTAAGTCAGATCCAGTGTGACTAGCCCTCAGAAATATACCGAAATATAGCTTTTCACTGTCAAAATATACCGTAAATATACAGAGGGGAAAACGAATTTAACCCATTTAACCCCGCTCTTTTTAAACAGTTGAAACACTAACCTTATATTATGGATATGTGCCAGTTCATACAACAAATACTGATTTTTCTGTTGCAGCACCCCAGGGCCTTCGGCTGGGTACGTATTTATACTTACTGTGCGTGTATGCGTTATAGTCGGACTTGGTTGCATCCAAAAATAACTTGCGTAACTTTCTTATTATTTTCTTATTTTCTTGCTTTTTGTGCAAAAAAAATGTCCAGAAATTATAACTTTTCAGAAATTAGAATATTCTAATATCCGAACTTCGACTGTATTAAAATGTAATGTAATAAACTTAGCATGGTTTACCTTCAAACAGTTTTGTGGGTCACAGTCTTAAGGCTCATTAAACTAGTCAACACGACAATTAGGCTGTGGCCCAAAATGACTTTTTCTTATAGATTTCGGGGTTTACAAATTTTTAACGAATTTCATCATTTTTTTGCGATATTTTTTGCCGAAATTTTAAATTTTAAAACTCGGGAAAAGTCGAAAAATAGTTCTTGGCATGTATTTTTAGTTTTAGATATACGCATTAATTAGGAGTCGTATAATGTATTGTTCATTAAAAAATCTATGAAAAGTTCTATGCAACCAGATATAAGATACTTAAGTTATTTGAAAAATTGAAGCACTACCTCTGAAAAAACCATGAAAAAAATACCAGATTTTAAGAATTCTTAAAAACAAAACTACACCATAAAAAAATGAAGTACTACAAAAAAGTCATTTTGGTTCACAGCGTAAATAAAAAGTTCAATTTTGTTGAGTAGTGTTATGGATTTAATATGCAATATTCATATTATACTGCCAATTGGGAACAAAGCAAACGAAAAAGGGTTGTACATTTGGTACCTGATCGCGTTCCTTTGTTCCCAATGGGCAGTTGAGGTAAACCGTTACTTTTGCAACAGATTTTATATCGAAAAGTATTTTTGGGTACAATAGGAAAATGTTTATTATTGATGACAGGCCGTCTGGCTAAATGGAGGCGAAGTCGGGTCTGGCGTGGATTTGGCGGACTCCCAAGATAAATATAAATGTACGATTCTCAAATTTAACAAGATCCCACTTCAATACCTAACTTTCTCTGATCACAAAAATAAAGTTTTCTAAAAACAGGAACGCTAGAATGGGCTTGGCTTGGTTCATTTTTTAGCCAAACAATTGTATATCAAATACATGTAAAACTTAAGCAAGTAGTAGCTTAAAATAATAGTAAGAAAAATAGTCCGTGGAGGGAGGAAATTCTCCGAATCTCTCCAGCTTGTAGCGGTTGACATTCTCCAGGCTACAAGGTATCCTATCTAGGGCCAATTTATGACGTTCCTCAATTAATTGGCTTGAAATGAAAATAAGTTGCGACGTTCCGTAAGATACATTTGATACATTTCCGCAACATGCAGCATTGTTCTGCAACTTTGGCACGGAATAAGCAACGCATCTGAATACCTTGGGAAAGGAAAATGGATGGGACTTGAGATATTGTTTGTAATTTCAGGCTCAAATTAATGCACAAACTACTCAGTCTCTGTTTTAAAGACATTAACGAAATTTTTCAGCTCACGGGTACCAATAATAGGTATCAGAACCGGAATAAATGTTTTTATAAAACACAAAAAATATGCATTAATAGGTAAAAAATATGTCAATCTAGGATAAAATCATTATTAATGTTTCAATGGAGCTTGGAACAACAATTTAACATCAATTAAAGAAAATAAGGTATACAAAAGTCCATGCATAGAATAAACTTGGTTGACCAGCAACTAGGACGACACTTTTAGTCAACATTTATGCCTTGGCCGTTTTTGTTTGAACCTTTTATGTAAGCAATCCAATGAAAAAGAGTTCTGAAAATTAGCCAATCCTGAACAAGATTGATTGAGGAATTGAATCAAATTATTTGTTTAGGGCTGAAAGGGCCAACTAGCTAGTAATATTAAACGGAATATCAAAATCAAGGAATATCAACGTCTTGTCGTGTCCGTCAGTATATTTACGGTATATTTTGATAATTGAATGGTATATATGGGTATATTTTTGTGGGTCAGGCGGTATATTTTATTGATAAATCTTGTGGGTCTGTCTGTCTTCGGAAACTAGAGCTGTCAAACGATTGATAGTTGAGCCATCGATAGTTTTGAATGTGTTGAAAAAAACAAACAATCGTAATAGTATCGGGCTCAAATAATTATTAAAAAACCATTGAAACCTTTTAGGAACTTGTCCATTGTAAAAATTAGATGCCACCTGTCGATTTATCTTCTTATTTTAGAGCAACCAATCCAAACATATTAAAAGCGCAACAACTGTTGCTCGATACCATGTTAGTCGCAAAACCGTCGATAGTAGCGGATAGCAGCAAAACATCGATACTATCGATAGTGCCCTGCCCTCGATGGTTTGACACCTCTAATAAAAACAAAACCTTGCATAAACAAAAAGTTATAAAAACAAAAATATGTCTACGGCGGAAGCAGAATCAGGTGCCGGCGAAGATTCGAGTGAAGCTGCTTCAGAGCATGATTTTATAGAATTGAAGAGCATGGAGGAGGTGGAGGCCTGCGACAAGCGGCAATTATACCAGTACATAGAAAAACTACATGGCTACATTGGCCAACTACATTGGCTTGCGGCCAATAAACAAAAGCTGAAACAAGTAAAAAGTACAGTTTACTGTACATTTGTATATTAATAATAATGATTTTCCAATGCAGCTGAGCCAGGACACAAAACCATGTCAGACAGCCATACAATCAAACACCGATTTGGACGAGGAAGAATTTCCTGCAAAGCATGAGAAGAAGAGGAAGGAGACTGCCGCAGAATGTAAGTTCAAGGAACGAACCAATTTTTTATTCTATTATAGCTACAAAACATGTGGTCTGGCACTCATTTCGTCTTACTGGCCACAGCGGCGACAAGAGCCGCACCACGGCCCGAACCATCCTCCGATAGCATAATATCAAACTCCTTGTCCGACTTTACCAGCTTATGCATTGTGTTGCGCATGTAGGCGTCAAATTTAGGATGATACCTGTACACAGAGCCGTCCATGCCAACTACAATTCGTCGATCTGAAATTCTGTTGATCAGGCCACTGACGCCAATAGCCACCAAGGTTGCCGCCCGCTTGGAAACACACTCGCAGATGTACCTGATCTTCTGGCAGTCCTCCACTGATGCTTTCTCCAGCCCAAACAACTTCGTGATAATGGATCTTGTTTTCGAAAGTTCTGGAAAAGAGTCGGACTCGATCTCGGATATGTATCGAGTTTCGAACACGTCTTCATTTGTGTGCAACACGGTGGCAAAGTGTTCCCGTCGATTGCTTAACTTGAAGAGGACTTTGCGCTGAATGGCTCGAATCAGAACTAAACGCACTAATCTGCCGAGATACATGCCAGATGTCATTTTTTCAAATAGTTGCTCCGACTTGTTGATCGACGTATCGTCCACCTCGCGGTCATATTCGGTGCGCACGAAATCCAGCTGCCCGCTCTCTCCGAAGGCTCCCCACTCTGCATTGACCAGGACCTGCCGCTGGTTCCGTTTGAAGTCCACGTGCAGAAGATCCACGTTGGCAACGTCTTCGACATAGCAGGCGTTGCAACCAGTTCCCACGATAACACCTACCCGGCAGTCGGCATTGCGGTGTGCGCACGACATGAGGGTTCCTGTGGTATCGTTGAGTATAGCCACGACCGCAATTTCCGCATCGCCCCGTCGCTGGATGGCCTCGTGCAGCAAACGACCCACGTCTTCGCCTTCCACCCCCGGGCAGCCAAAGCCCTTTGTCCAGCGCGCTAAAATGGCCTCCTTGAGACCAATCTGCTCGCAGGGAAACGAAAAGGTGAAACCTAGTGGCAGATGTGAATTTCGCATATCATGCTTTTCCACAAATCTGGCCAGACACTCAGCGATGTGATCGAATAACTCGACGCCAGGGCCAACCATCAAATCCTTCGGCACTGCATATATCTGCGACTCAACCGAGGCGTCGTGGTGTCCTTTGAGGGAAACGAGGAGCACACGGAAGTTGGTTCCACCCAGGTCAAGCGCCAGATACTTGCCCATCTCGTCGCCCGTCGGCAAGTCCTGCACATAAGTTGGAAAACACTTGGTGTTGGCCTGGGCATGTGTGGACCGCTTCAAGCCCTTTGATATTTCCGCACAGAAGCGACTGTACACCTCTTGAACCTGATAGTCGCTCAGCACAAAGGCTTGCATAAGTTCTCGCACCTCCACATCCAGCATTTTGATTTGGCTAATCTTGGCTCTGGGTCCAACCGCTTGCCTCGATAGATGAGTAACGACTAACCACCAGGCGCCTTGGCAGCACACCTCGATTGGCACTATTCCCCGATAAGAGTTGCTCAATTTTCGCAATGCAATTCCGCCAGACGTAGACACAACTGCACAATCTGCAGCAGGCGTGTCGTAGCAAATTAAAAACAAAAACACCTAAGTAGCTAGATCAGCTGAATCTGAATTTGAATCTGAATCTAGAACTACAACTGCGCTATGTGTGCTAATCGCTTTGGCTGGCATACTGCCTCTCAATTGCTTGCAATAGCTCCTGATTTGCCACCCTACGTCGTAAGCAAAGAAACAGACTTTATGACGCATATGGCTGCACTATAGGAAATAAAATAGACCTCACCTACTCTCAAGCAAACAAGAAACTAAAACCTTTGTATTATGTCCCGTAGGACACAATAGATGCGCCATCTTCGTTGACATTGGTTTACCTTATCGACACAGTTTTATTCTTCATGTATCACCTGCCTATGTGACGATAATCGCTGAATGCATTTATTAGGAGTAAGGAGTACACAGTTCACGATCCATCCACCCATTGCGACTATCACCGGGCTCCCAGGCCGGATCATAAAGCGTGTGTCAAACATACAAGCATGTTAGTGCGAGATTAGCGCCGCTACCCTGAGATCCCATTTCCACGTTTCACATCGCTAAAGCTGCTTGCAAGTTGCGCAAGTGGGCGGATGTGGGGGCGTGTGCGATTTATTGCCTAGTGGCTTAGAGCGATAAGTTAGCTAGGGCCCAGTGTCCCTTGCAATGTGTTGCGACATGCAGTTAAAGCGGTTTTTGTGTAATTTTCAGTTTCGGCTACGGATGCCTTCAGTTTTGTGGACGAGATGCGCCAGGCGGCCAAGCAGGCGGAAAACCTACATAACTTCGTGTATGAGCCGACGTCGGGCATGTACTACGATCCGAAGACAGGCTACTACTACAACGCGGTAAATATACAATAAACAACAAATGTAATCTTTATGACGTCCCGTTCCGCTGCGTTCTGTGCAGCTCGTTGCGCTGTGACATTCAGAGGTTATCGCTCTGACGGTCCCATTAAGATCGTGGGCACGAATTGTTTTTAACCCGCTCTCGTGTTTCTTCCTAGGAGTACGACCTGTACTACGATGGCAACACGGGCTGCTACTACAGCTACGATCATGGCAAAGACTCGTATGAGTTCCATTCGCAGGCTCAGGTGCAGGTGAGCGGGCGTGGACATACCACTGGCGCCCACATAATTAACCGATGTTCTTCTTTTCCTTGGTGCGCAGCACCCCTGCGCATATAGTAGACTTTTAAAGGGTTTTCACAAACTGAGCATAGACCGAATGCGTAGCAATGCATTAGGTAAGAACTAAGACCCAGAACGTTCGATAAAAACGCGGATTTCTTTTTTTCACTGGTTGCAGGCGAACGACGCAGCCAAGCCCGGATCGGAGCAGGCGGCCGACGAGGATGATGAGGTGGAGTTCGACGAACTCGGGGGCGTCATAACGGACTCGGCAACGCTGCAAAAGATTAAAACCGAAAAGCAGAAGCTTAAAGAACGAGTCGAAAAATCCAAGCGCAGGGCGAAGAAGAAGAAAAAGAAGAGCAAGAAGCACAGCAAGAATAAGCGTAAGAAGGAGCGTAGTTGTAAGCCGAAAAAGAAGCGCCGCAATGCCGATGATGACGTGGACGCCGAAGACGGCGAGATCCCGTCTAGCGATTCCAGTACCAGCTCCAACTCCAGCGACAACGATAGCAGCAGTAGCGGCAGTGAAGACGAAGGCAGTGTACCAGTCTTCAAGGCTGCTGGACGCTTTCAAGGTGATTAAGAGATCCGATCCGCCTTTTTATCTAGCCTTCTGTAATGGACATTCTACACACTTGTAATACACCTATTCCTCTGTTCTCCCAACATCCATAGACATCGCCAAGAAGTATCCGCCCTCGCTTCGCATCATTGTGCAGGAGACAAACGTGGAGGAGCTAGTGGTCGGGAGCCTGCATTTGATCACATACAAAGGTGGATCGTTGGGCCGCGAGGGCGAGCATGATGTCATCATACCAGATGTAAACGTGAGCAAAAGTCATTTAGAATTCTACTACGAGGCCAAGTCAGGAATTTATAGATGTCGCGACCTTGGCTCCCGGAATGGCACCATCCTCAATGGCGTGCGCATGGTGAACGATCCGATGGATCTGGTGCACGGGAGTGTGGTCACCATTGGGCAGACTAGACTCTTGTGTCATGTGCATGAGGGTAACAGCACGTGCGGACTATGTGAGCCGGGTCTGTTGATAGAGACGCAAGCGCCGGTAGGAGCAACAGCATTGTCATCCACAGCGACGGTATTGTCGCACAAAGAGCAGCTGAAGAAGCTGCAAAAGAAGTACGGTCTGGAAAATGAAAGTGAGTAGGAGTTGCGGTGACTAGCTGCTCCGTGTTTCTCTTACCAGAACGCTTACCGTGTATCGCTTGATCCGTTTACAGAATTTGTTGAGGCTAGTGGCAATGGACAGCACAAACAAAACTACAATGATCGTGCAGCAACGCGTCGTGTCAACGTGGGAAGCAGCACGGACAAGGAGAAGACGGAGGTGGCGTGCGTGCATACGTAAGTGCCAGAAAGCTGAAAAGTTTCTTGCTTCATAGTCAGCGTTTAACCGAAACCTATATTCATATTCGCAGGGAGATTGCCAGCTCCAACAAAGGGTTCAAGATGCTGAGCAAGCTTGGATGGCAAAAGGGCAATACTCTGGGAAAGACCAACGCCAGTGCAGGGTTGCTTACACCGGTACACATGTTATTACAGACCATTAAATACCCATATATCTAAGATTCCCATTATTTCTGATTGAATTCGATAGATCAATGTGGTGGCCAACGAGGGAACCAGCGGTCTGGGGAGGAGTGAAACTATCAGCGCTCCCAGGCTAGTGGACAAACAGAAATTGGCCAATTTAAAGATCACCCAGGCTCGATATCAGCGGGCCAACGATATATTCGAGCTGTCCAACGAAAGCGATTGAAATTCATTTACATTTAAGATGGAAACACATTTAATTAACAATTATTCAAACATATGCATAAGTATTATGTGTGGATTATGTGTGCATATACTTATAGATTTGCATTTATATATGTATATATAAATATATATATATATATATATGTATAGTATTAATTAAAAATCTTTCTATACGGTTAAGCTATCAGTCAATTAATTAATTTAGCTTCGATCTAAAAAAGTAGAAAATTGTAATGTTAAATAAATATGACATCGGTCGGCTACATACGGTGTGGTGTGTGGCTAAGCTAAATGCGAGTGAATTGCGCACGAAAATCAATCGTTTAAATTAATTATTGGGTTGCCTATGTTAATGTTAAATACGAAAGCCTCTTAAGATATGTGGTTTCTCTTGCAATACGTTGGATAAGAGAGCTTGCAATAGGTTGCAATAATGTTGTATGGTTGATAATACTTAATACCGCGGCCATATGAATGTGTATTCGATATTATTTGGTGGACAGTTTGCCAACCACCTTAGGCCATCCACCGCTTACAACACGAAACGCTCAACGAGAATCTTTGGATGCTGCAACTGTGGAACAGTACACAGCGCAGAAATGCGCGACATCTACGTCCCCTCATAACGCCTTCTAAGTCATTTGCTAATGATATTAATATGAAGATGTTTCGTAGCTCTCCTCTAACAGCTCCCCGCGGACTTGATACCTATGAAGAACCCGGTGGTGCAGGAGTGCTGATGTACCTCGCACCACGAGTTGTATGTGTGGTTGTCGAATCCGCATATTTTGTGCACCTGGAAGTGGAAATGATGGGGGGTTATCTTTTATGTGTTACATCGTCCCACGCAAGCGGAGGCTTACCGGTCGCTGCTGCTTCCGCGGGCAATTGTACCGACAGGACACGCAGCGCGGCAGGCGCGTCTGCAGATCCACCAAGCAAGTATCCTTCGGGCCACATACGATGTCCGCGCAGCCCACGCGGTCCGCTGAAAAATATATTTCTGGTTTTATGTCTGGCAATTTCAGTTTACGGCCAATGTGAATGGCCCCTGCCGGAAAATTGCTAGCACCAGGAAACAAGAGTAATCCATTCAATCGCTATCCTCACGGGATTCCAACGCTGTGTTTTTCTCTTATTGTCCGATTTCGACATCTCAAATCGGGTACAATCTCCACATATAGTATATGTACTTGTATAATAACTAGTACTTGGGATCTGATAGCCCACGACATAACAATCTAACGCAGCATTGACTTATGGCTGCCCTATCCCTCCTTCCGCTTTAACGTGGTGCAGTGGCTTTGTTTTGTTCGATCCCAGAACTGCAATTTTCTCTGCTGACACATTATTCACACCGCAGGCAATGGTACGGACAGAGCAGCCCTACCCCGCATGCGGTGACGGTGACGGGAGGGCATGCTCAAGACAAGTAGCAGCAAGTCGAACCGAACTGCAGATCCAGCCCAGTCAGGCGGCCATAAGCGAAGAGCCAAGCCAGTCAGCCAAGCGGCGCGCAGCCGCAAACGCCAGGCAATATATGTATTTATCGTCAACATGATCATGATCTCCGACTTGGCAACAATGTTGCATGCCATGCCCCCGAAGCATTGTAGATCGCAATTGCTTAACGGGCGGAGCAGGGACTGGGCTGGATGGGGGACGGGCTGCACGCAGATGGGATGCAGCAGGCGAGGCTTGGCGGGGCGTGTGGGAACAGGACAGGACAGGACAGGACAGGACGGGAGGGCGACGGTGCGTAAAAGTCGCCCGTCTACCAATTCGTAACAGTTAAAGTTTATTAATTTCAACTGCCAATTTAGCTTTAGGCCTTTAGGTCTTTTGCAACGTGCGGCTCCTCCCTGCGTGACTCCCCCTGGCCTCACTGGTTGATTGTGATGGATATGTCGGGAGCACGAGCACGGCCTCGGCCTCAACTCACATCTACTCTACACATCTGCAGATGCGGCTGGAGGTATGGCTGATAATGCCGTCACAATGCAGGGCAACTATAATTTGCAATGTCGACGTGGTTTAATCAACGCCAGCGGCTGTCCCGAGAGTCTCCCCTCTGTCGCTTATTGCCCGACGTCTGTTGGCGGAACTTATTGCAACATTGTGAGGCTTGGTCGGGAATTCGGCGTTGGCCATGTGTCTGTGGCATGTGTGCGTGAATGGGAATGTGTGTGTGTGTAAGCGTCTGTGTTACCATTCTGGCTGTCTGGCTATTTGGGCATTGCGTGTTGTTTAAGGTGATTTTAATACGATCGTAAACTACAGCCGGCCCAGGGGAAGCACAAGAGCCCAGACGCTGAGCCAGACATAAGTGACGTCGCGACGACGTGGACAGCTGGACAACTGGACAACTGGACAGCTAGACAGGCCGGACAGTCAAAAAATTGACCGGACTCCACTCCTCGACTGTGTATATGGATGTGGATGGGGATGTGGCTGTGGTTGTGGCTGTGGCTACGGCCGAGTCTGGCAGTTGCAATCACAGAACCTGCGTCACCGAAGTCGTTGCGAAAATGGCGTTTTAATGGTTTGAACGTGTAGTCATATTTCTTGGGGGCAGCGGGAACTCTTAGTGGCCCGAGTCTGAGTTGTCCCTGCTAGTGCCTGTTCCTGTGGCTCTGCCTCTGCCTGCGATCGCTGGATCGCTGGATCGCAGCAAGTATTTACGAGTATGTGAAAGCAGACAAGCCAACACACGAGACCCATAAACTGACTATCCATGAAGGTAAAAAGCTCAGCTCAGGCCCAACGCACACAGGTGCACAATCTTATCGTCGGACGATCCACAGAACATAATGAGGAAACGACGCATACAATCGCACAAACCAGCAGTGGGAAGGTGCAATGGCAAGGGTAAGACTAGGTGTGAGTCGAAGTGGAAGTGCGAGAGGAAGAAAGCAGTCGTCTCGCCGAGATCAAGAAACTGCCTGCACGCACGCATGCGCAGGAAGGTTGGTAGGAAGGAAAGGGAACTGTAGGGAAGGGCTAAAAGCAAAAGTGAATAGAATAGTAGTTAATGATCTTAACTTATTGTAATGTCCGGCTACCGTTCAGAGTGGGCATAAGATCGTGCCAGAGGTGTACAGGAGCCGGCAAGAGATGGCTTCAACTGACTCTCAAGAGAGTGATGTGATGGTAGTGGTGGTAGCTTTGGAGAATGCGGACCGACATCATAATCGTACTGGGTGCAGACTGATCGGCCATTGATAAGTAATAATAGAGCGGTGCGGCCGCTAAAGCGAATTGCGTCAGCAGCTGCTGTTGGTGCGGGGCACGCAGTGTTTGTTTCGGTACGTATTAATTGCGAGCCGTAATTTGCAACAAAACACAGCAATTAACAGGCCATTGCAGCCGAGAGCCGCCGCTGCCTGCCACAAGTTCGAGTGGGCTCCCTGGCCAAACTAGTTTGCACTGTCCGACTCGTGCGCGTCTCCAGATTTGGTGCGACAATAAAACGCCCTCCACGACTGAAAGTGCCACTGATTGTTGAGATGTTCAATGTGCGTTGTGCATTGTAATTAATTGGATATCGGAGTCGATCAATCGGAGTGCAGTGCGACCACAAAACTAATAAGCATGAATGATACGAGTACCGGCGACGACAGCGGGGCTGTGGCTGTGGCTGTAATTGTGGATGCGCACCAGGCAAAGTGGAGCAGCCGACAGACTGAGCGACGGCCTAATCGAATTGCTGGCAATCATGGAGCCGTATAAGCAAATGTAGCAATTTCAGTCAAACGCCGAGCAGCGGCCACCCGATATGGCTTGGCTGCAGACCATCGCCGCAGCAACAGTGCCACAGAGCCAGAGCCACAGCCACATCAGCAAGGTAACCACTCGACTTGACTCGACTCGACTCGCCTTTGCGAGTGCTAAGCTTCAGTCAAGTCAATCAAATGCAAAATTGCGGTTCTGTGTTGATTGTTGTTAAATTTGCACAGCCCCGCTAGAGCAACCAGAAACCAGCTACAACCTCAGAGTTAAAATGGCAACAATGCACTGAAATTGCAATTGCAGGCTACAATTTGCAAACTTCAGCAGAGCTCTCCATACCAATTAATTTGATTGATTTTTTCAGCCAAACGACAGCCGACTCCAGCACTGTCCAAAATACTCGTGTACATACCACGACAGGGTCCCGAATATGCCACGGCGATGGAACGTCCAATTTTGCAAATCATTCGATTTATATCACAGACGCTCCTGTATGTATTGCCGTCGACACCGCACACTGCCTGCTTCGCATCTGGAGCGTGTGCATCATCCTCCTCCTCCCAGGGACACTCGATTTTGCAGGGAATGCAGTGCGGTGTCAAGTACTGATCCTCCACGCAAGTTAGTCCATTCAAGCACTGGACTCCCCTACAGCTGCCTGCAATAAAATAGAGCGGCGTGAGAAACATATAAGAAGGTTTTTACACAATACACAACAATAACTAGTAGTAACAGGCCAACTACCAAGTTCCTTGCCCTTTAACTTTCAGCTATTCTCGATGAGGAATCTTGAATTGAAGCCTAATTAAAAGACCGTTTCTTGCGTTTAATTTAAATAGCATAGTGAAGTTCTTCCTCATTTACCCTGCCAAAACCCAGGAGGCAACACAACTAATCTCCTGAGTAACCTCGTGCCGCATCTTGCAACTTTGTCTTCGCTTCGGGACCAGCGCATGTTCTTCGCGTATACTCTTAGGCGCTGATTGGGACTATTAATAAACTATTGGCCAATTTCTATGATTAGCCAGATCTTCGCTGCGTACATGTGAGTGTGGATATATTCGCTTATATGGCGAGCAATAAACTGTCCAAATTTATCATGGTCCAAGCCTTGGCGCCAACTGTGACACTTGCGAGAAATTGCATTCATTTTTCTGCTCAAAATTACGAGTGTTATTGAATACGAGTGGATGCCGTAGATGTACACTCCACTCCTATCCGCCTGGCAATGCAACGCCAAACGGTTCCCGATTGCGCATTCCATTGGATATCGGCACGCGCCAAGCCAACGTTAGATTGCTGTCATTGTTGGTGTTGTTGCTGATTCGAGTATTGCCGTTTATGTCTTGCAACAGAAATTGCCACGGCCACAGCATCAGCATCAATGGCAGTAGCAGCCATGTCGTGTGCTCACGGCTAATCCAACAAGTTCTTTGGACTCTTGGCTCATCGTTCTTGTGCGCTGCGCTGTTTTTATTGATAATTTGAGCATGTTTGAGAGTGCTTCCTGTATCATTAAATTATTACACAACATTTCGATCGGAGCTCTTGAGGGGATTGGGATCGGATCGGCTCGGATAGGCGATGCGACTCCATCTCCAACGTCTGGAATCGACTCCGGCTGTGGCTGTGGCCGGTTGATTTCACCACTGGCGACAAGTTGTTGGCCGTAATTGAAATGTGCAATAATTTGTCATCTAATCTAATTGTGGCACGCGAGCGTGAGCAGCCCGTTCCCCCAGCCCGGACTGGACACATTACATGTGTGTGTGAGTAAGAGTGTATGGATGCATTGGTGGACTTACTCTTGCAGTGGCCCCGATAGGCGACCTCCAGTTGGGCGTTGCTTGTGCGGCAGGCGCGCTTGCGCAGCTGGCACTCGGTGTTGTAGGTGCGTCCGTCGGTGCCGCAAACCGGATTCTTGTGCTGCTGCTGCTGCTGAAAGTAACCAAGTTAGCGAAACGCCCAAAAACTGCCCCAAGGAGTATGCAACGCAAAATGCGAATGGAATGTGTAGAATGGCGGGGACTTACCATCAGCACTGGCTCATAAATTCCACCCAGAAAAGCCAAGTCACCGGCATTAGCCAAGTGGCCATGGCTGATGCTGTGGCTGTCCGTGGCAACAGCCGATGACGCAGTCATTTCACTTCCGTGTTCACCCAAGTACAGACGACGCTGCGCCTGCGCCTGTGCCCCAGACATTGTGGTATTCGCTGTCAGCGTAGATGTTGCAGCGGTGCTCGCATCAGCTGCAGCTTCTGCTTCAGCCACTTCTGCTGGGGCCTCTCCAAAGCGCTGCTCGTGCTGTTGATGATCCTTGCCGGCCCTGTGTTTGGGCCGATGCCTCCGCGGCCCTCGCGGCCCATTGTCATGATTTGGTGCAAGCTCGACGCGTCTGGTACTGGAGCTGGCTTGCTGGTGTCTGACCGGAGCATTGTCTAGCTTCTGGTGCTGCCTATTGCTGTCGTTGGCGGGTTCATTAGCATTTGCAAACTTGTGTCTAGACTGTGCCGAAGCCGGAGCTGGAGTCGAGACAGAGACAGAGACAGCGACAGAGAGTGTCGCCTGCGCAGGCGTCTTGTCTGCTTTGGACGAGTCATTGGCTCCTGTCGTCATTGATCTTGTTAAGTGTTTGCCTTGGTTATTTCTGTGTCTGCGCCTCTCATAGCCCGTCATTTCCACTCTGCCGCCGCTCCGCCTGGTCGTGGGCTGCTCTTGCGAATTCCTATTACTGTTGCTGCTGTCTATAATCAAAAGTCTTCTGTGCTTCGTCTCGACCTGCGCCTTTCTGTGACTCTGGCGCCGTACAATCTGTTGCATTTCTTGGGTTCTTTCCTGTTCGAGTTCGTGGCGCTGCTTTCTTTGGTTGTCAGCGATGGGGTTGTCGTTGATAATTTCGCTACTTAGACTACGTGAGCCACGCGGTGGCACTGTCACTGCCGGCGACTTCTTCCATAGCTTCTGGTGCTGTCTTCGACGCGATGCCCCACACTCGGGGGCACAGACGCATTTGGGCCTTCCTTTGCGCTTGACGCACTTTTTGTTTGGCCCACATTTGAAGCCTTTACAGTTCTCTAAAAAAAGCAACCAAAAATAAGAAGTTACAGATTAGTTTTTAATTTCTCGATCTGGTTACACAATTACCAATGCACGGTGCGCACTCGACACCGCCTCCGATTGCCGTCGCAAAGAAGTACTCCACGCTGCTCAGCTCGCGATCGGTGTAGGAGAAGGTCTGGCTGGCGCCGCCACAGCATTCCGCCTTGGTTATGTTCGTAGAGAAGATCTGGCTGCACTTTCCGCTGCCCAGGGGGGTCTGCCAGCAGGTGCCAGCTGCGGAGAGAGGAGAGGAGAGCCAGATGTGGGCAGAATCTTATTAAAACCAGAACGAGACAGTCGACCTTAGAGCATATGCATATGCATGCTATCGGATATTCTATTGATTCGTCCCTTCCAGATTTAGGAGGCATGGAAATAGCCGCCATAAATATTGGCGTGTTTACTAAATGGAATCAGTGAGGAATGTTCATGCCATGCCGCTAATTAACTTGAGGCAGAAGTCGTGCGAACGATCTGATACCATCCCATCCCATCCCATGCCATCCCAAATAAAGCAGCATGCTGGAGGTGAAATTCGCGGATTTGTCTTTGTTTTTTTCGTTTCGTTTCGATCTTTTTTGTTTTTTTTTGTTTTGTTTTGATCGATCTGGCATGCCAGCAGTAAATGCGATACCATCGTCCGTCGCGATAAACAAACAACAGCTCTTTTCTTCCGTGAGAAATTGCGTCATATTTGAATAAAATGTGTCACATTTGTCGTTCGATTCCGCCGTGGCATGGGGCAAGGGGCAAGGGGCAAGGGACAAGAGACAAGAGCCACAAAGCGATACATTTGGAAAAAGATGGAGATGGAGAATGCCATGAACGCATTCGGGGATGTATCGGAACATACATATGTATGCAGATGTGGCCCTTTCATTATGGGTCAATCTCTGGCTAAGCAAGAAGTGTGTGAGTTAAAAGGAGTATAGTATCTGGCAAACTTTGTCTATGACACTTACCCGCCGCTAGGCGCATATGCAGTAGCAGCAATCCAGCAGCAAACAGAGCCATTGACGCCGCCTGGGATGTGGCTCTCAGGCTCAGGTAGCTCCCTCTCCGATGTAGACGTAGACTAGAACTAGATGGGTGTTTCTGTATGCCTTTTTGCTGTTGCTTATTCCGCTGGTGTTCACGTGCCATTGACACCTTGTCATTCGGATCGCGAGTACCAGGCGTGCGGATATGTCTCACTCGGACATTGACGTCACGGCCATCGTCATTCCCGTCAGTGGCCGATTCTTGCAGAGAGTTCCATGCGATTACTATAAATAAACTTAGAATTGTTCTACTTTTGTGGCTAGTAGTTGTCGTCGATGCCACTGCCACTGCCGTTGCGGCTGTTGCTTCTACTGCTGATTCTGATGCTGGTGATGATGCTGTTGACGTCTTTGACATTGTTGTTGTTGCCGCTAATTGGTCCGGTGGTGTACGCGCTTCCGCTGTTGCGGTGGCCACAGGAAGTGCGCGGATCGTCGTCATGTTTCTGCGTTTGAATTTGTAATTTGATTTTAAAAATGTCAAATTGTTCTGGCTGTTCGTTTGATGGTGATGAGGCATGACCAGGCGATGGAGAACGGCCAAAGCTATGGATAAAAGACGCACAATCAAAAAAAGGATGACATGAGACGAGGCATGAATTCAGTTCCATTATAAAATGCACAAAGTTCTTTGGAGGCTATGGAGTGCGAGTGCAGCCACTTGGCCGAAGAACTCGCTTCGGGCACACACAGAATCTTTTGTACGAAAACGACAAAACGGCAGAGAGCCAACAATTAAGTCTCAAACGTTAAGTTGACATTGAGCAGGCGGTTTTCAAAATGCGACTACTAAAAATAAAGAACCTGTTGCTGTCGCCGTCGCCGTCGCCTCTTGCAGTTCTCGTGGCGTTGTTGCCTTGTCGCATATTATGCAGCCGCGTCCACCTCCGTCTGGCTCGAAGAGTTCCGTCTCTGCCTCCACCTCTGTGTCTGTCTGTCTGTCTGTCTGCCTGTCTGCCTGTTGGTTTGTTTGTTTGTTTGTTTGCTTGGGTCGCTAGTTTGGCATTTGCTTTACTTCGGCTGCCATCGCGGTTGGGTTGGTTGCCAGTGCAACCGTCATGACACTAAGGACGTGCTCGAGACAACATATGAAGGGATGGGGCAGACATGCAACAATTTCTGCACAGAGAGCCCAATGGAACGTGACTGGAGTGTGGTTTTTCTCAAGTATCCTAATTTGGCCAACTCGCGAACGTCCTTGAGGCGATGACAACCACTGACTCCTCGTCTTCACGAAGACAGCGACGGAGCCCTATTAGATTAGCCCACTTCAAGCGGCTCACCCCCACCCACCCGAGCGCGAGCCGCCATTATCGAAAGTTCAGCAGCTTGAAGTAGTGCCTGCACCTTTTCAGGTAAATATTTAATGACCCACTGCGTCATGGTTCCTGTCCAAGCCACTGTCCGTCGCTCGGGCCGAAAGTTGTGGCGTTAGCAAGCGCTGTGACATTTTGTAGGACGCTCCAACTGCAGTTTCGTCTCTACGTCTGTGTCCCCAGCCGTCGCTTCGCCAGACGCTCCATACGCACGCACACGCGCACGCATACTGAGGCAGGAACATCCACACAGTTGCATTGGAGCTAAAGCTGGGGCTCGAGCTGCATTCCTGCATTGGAGCGGAAAGACGCCTGCCGGTGGCTATTTTTAGACCTTGTGCAGTCAATGGGTTTGCACTAGTATAACCCCTGCGGAAGCTATCGCAAACATGTTAGTTTTTTACAACTCGTACCGATGTATCGGGCACGTGCATCATGGAAAGAGCCCGTCCTCAGATGTCCAACATTTGGTTGGATCTCTGGGATTTGGGGTCTACTCATACTCACGGTCCTTCCCATGATCAGCAGAGCTTTTGTTTGTTCTTTACTGTACGCGGAGATACCACGAATTCTTCAAAGCTCGCAGGCATTTCTTTTCGGCCCGTGGACCCAACAATGAGGAACGGAAAGGCAACGCCAGAGGTTGGGCAGCAAAAATGCAAGGAGCGCCGCAGCAACAGCAAGCAGCCAGAGCGGGCAAGGCATGAAATGCATTCTCGGCAGCAGCAGCAGCAACTGCATTGCCAAACACAATATCACACATACACAACCGCAATCCCACAGATAAACACAACACACACACACACACCCAGATACACACACACAGAGAGTTTGGGGTTTGGGTCTGGGTCTGGGTCTGTCTGGAAACAGCGAATGCCTTCTCGAGATGCAGTTTGACCGTTGGCCGCCGCTTTAAAAGACCTGTTTTTATGTTTTTGGGCATTTATTCTGGATCTTTTTTTGCTCATTTCTGTTTGTATTGAATTGCATCTTTTGCTGCGCCGATCGGTGCTGCTGCTGCTGATGCACTTGAGCAACAAGTGCATAATTTCAACCTCAGGACCAGAGCTGCCCAAAAAAAAGCATCGAGCGTGGTGCTGAGTTTCACTGCGGTTCCAGAACCTCCCTTGAAAGGTATTCCAGTATAGAAAACGTACCGCCTTTAGTTACACTTGCATTTTGCATACTCGTATTAGATTGGCCCGCTCGCATGTCAACTCTCAGCCCCGTCCAGCTCTGCCCAGTGCGTATCATGTTATGAGTCCCATGGAGTCCGTGTCCGAGTCGGAGTCGTGCATGCATGCACTGAAGCACGTGCTATTCGTGTAGTCAGAAAACTGATCTCAGCAACAGATAGTAGCACAGCAGAGAACATTTGGGAAACAATGTTGCCCAAAAGGCACAATGAGGAAGTTGAACCCATATCCAAAGCTGCTGAGCATGGGATAAGTTGGGACCATGTTCCCCGTTAAGCCTTTGAGCCCCACTCCTGTGCCCATTCACGCTTTCCCCAGCCTAGGCGATTGCGCAATAACTGGGGACAGGGGACACAGGACTGATCGCCGCTCCAGATCAAGCTCCAGCTATTTTTAGCTGTTCCGCGGAACGCTGAATGTCTCATTCTCAAACGAGAATGTGCTGTTCTGTGTGCGTGTGAGCCTTGCCCCACTGTCGTGTGGGCTCAAATCAGAAAAGGGTCAACATATTTGGTTTCATAAATAACAAACAGCCCGACAAACCAAAACTGTTCCAGACTCGCTGGAGGGGAGCGTCTAAGCTGTTTGTCATCTGCCGGGGCGGACCCAGGAACAACAGGAAATTCCTTTCGACAAAGTCAGCAGTTTTGGCGCGAGATTAATGACTTCTGGACAGCGCCCCCACCCACGCGCCCTTTCAGCGCCTGCCCCTCATTCTGGCATTTGCATATGTGACAACACCAACAGCAACAACAGCAACAACAGCAGCAAAAGCAGAAGCAGAAGCTGGTCGTTTGTTATGCAAGCAGTAAATTTTCAATAAATATACATAGGATAGGCCCACAAACAAACCAAACAAAAACCAAAATTGAATTGACGGACTGCCGCCGCAGATGCCAGCATCCCCCCAGAATAGCCATAGCTCCCAGCCACACAGACACCCGGGACGGGGAGACAGGCGACTTTGAGCGCTTTGAAGCGTAAGTATCGACGAAGATGTTTGTTTTTCCAGAGCTCGAGCATCACGTCACGCGTTTGTGTGCGCATACAACATTGCACATACGCAGCGTTGCCCGAAACCCCGCCACTCGAGAGGGTCTGGTCTTGGTCCCGCCTCTGCACTGTACATTGTACACTGTACGGTGTACACTGTACGGTGTACACTGTACTATCTAAGGCCCGTCGACGCATTAACAGAAATCAGCGGGAGTGGAAGCGGGAGTGGAAGCTGGATCGGCAGCCGCAAAAATATAAAAAGTAAACAGGAAATCTGCAGGATTGCAGAGCTGGAAGAGAGCGTGAAATCGCTGTTTGCTTTTCTGTGATGCCAGTGGTTTTTCCTCCCATTATTTTTGTTTTCGCCTTCTAATACTCTGGTACTTGCAATCGTACTCATATCTGTCTCCGAGTCGTAACAGCACAGGCAGAGAGAGAGAGAGGGCTTGCAGACACAGCAAACCGCACTGGCACTGGCACAGGCACAGGCATAAGACCTTAGGACCGTCTCGCCGGGCAAATAAAAATAAATATCGGCTCACATGAAATCCGAGCTTTTATTGAGTCTGTCGATCGCGCCCTTTGTTGACAACTATGCAAGAATTTTGTTATTGTCTGAGATGTGCAATTATCGTAGAAAAGTTTTTTCTGCCACTGGAATGGTAATGGTAGCAAGTAGTGGGAAGGAAAATGGCGACCTACTCCGCCCACGCAATGGTGTCAATAATGAGCATGCCATGCCCCGAGAGCGGACTTGACTTCTTACATCTCTTATCTCACCTTTTCAGCGGTTATTTAGCGGTGATTAGCCCCGCTAATTAACCGGTGGCGGCTGCGACCCCGCGAAAATGTTCGATGGGTTCGATGGCTAGTAGTGGGATCCGCCCTTTACCGTTTACATCTTCTTTTATCTTTTATCTGCTTGCAACTCAAAAAAAATGATAACAGAACCAAACAAAACACAAAATTACTTTGTAGCCACAACACAAGTGACATGAAAATGGGTAACGGAAAATAGAAAACTGCAAGCTCGACAACGATTTGTGTTTGCTTCCGCTAGTTGATCGCTCTTTTCGCTGAGCTTTCCGAAGCCAGCGATTCTTGGAAGTTTTCGCGTTCGTGTCACATTTGGAACACAGCACAACACTCCTCTATTTATTTAAACGAGGACCAGACCAGGCATTAAACGGTGTCTTTGCCGAATCAAAGAGTAAGTACGGATATTATGGACAATTAACTTTAACGGCTTCAACTGTCCGCGGCCCGAAACTATTTCCGTTGTTTCCTTTTCCGCGGCCGTTAAAATTGTGCCCCCAAAAGCGCCAAGAGATTTTGTTCGTTGACGCGCGATTCTAGGCGTTTATCCGTACTATCACAATGTCTTAGCACTAGCACTGAATGACGTGGAGAAACGCGTCCGCTTCGAATGAAAGATAAAAGTCGAATAATCACGTACCCGACCCGACCCGAAGCGACCACCACGACCAGACGACTACCTCAATGAGAGCGCGAGCGCAAACGCGAACGCGCGAGATAGAGAGCCAGTCTGGGCCAGTTTGAATCGTTGCTGAGAGAGAACCAAGCCAACCGACTGTTTCTCTCCCTATCTCTCTCTCCTCTCACATGTACTCACTTTACCGTTGTCGCTCATCCTGATGTCAAAATCTGTAATTAATAAAAAAAAACATCAACTTCCTGACGAAAAAATAAGATACCCTTAGAACTTTGCTATACTCATATAGCGCGGAGTAGAGACTGTCGCTATATAGCATTTTAAAAGGAAACAATTTAATTTCGAAGGGATATACGGCGGTTTGTTTATACATATGTATGTATATCCATGATACATACATATGTACATATATTTCTCAGTCTCGGAAATTGCAGTTTTGTTTCGGTCATTATGAAATCACTCAAGACACATCTAGTTCTGAAAATGTTCTTACTTATTTTCATAATTGCTGCGTTTCTTTTCGATTTTTATCCTATGAAAAGCACTTACTACAACCCAAATTTTTTTGGGTTATTTCAATTACATTTTTTTTTCTGCAATCTCCTTTAATTGATATTTCCATTAATTTTTTTGTAAATTATGCTAAATGATAAACAGATTTTATGAAAATTTGTAATGTGTCGTATTCATGTGTCGGGGAGTGTATTTTGTACATGAATGTACATATATTATACCCAAGAAACACTGGATGTAACCACAGTGTTGGCGCTCATTAAATTCAGGGAAATCATGCCACGACTGTCTAGAAAAAATATCGCCAGCTCTGTCCTTAACTGTCTATTGTTTGGCCGAGCAAAGCGGCATGTAGCGCGAAAAACGATTTCTTTATGGTGCAAACAGCGTCATAATTCAGATCTATTTGCCAGATACTCGCAGAAACAAACTGCAGGTCGCTGCCAAGATGCACCTCAGCTCTGAGTGAAAATAAAGACATCGAATGACTTGGATGTCATTACGGCGTGGAGCGTTTTATTAAGAAATGGCGTGCTGATGCGTATTAAGCCAGCGGTTGATGGCAGTGGCAACTTTACTCTTGCCACCATCCCCATCCTACTTTCGACCCAGCTAATGATAGCCACAAGACAGTGCCTCCTGTGTGTGCATGACTGCATGACTGCCACATTGACGGGTATTTATTGAAAGTGCATCTTTTGATGGGGAATAGATAGTCATTGCCGCCCATAATTGAATCTAATAGGGACAGATCGACGAATCTATAAGGCAACGGACCTTGCTCGGGCATGAATGATTGTAATCACGTTCACACATATTTAAATTTATATTTATACATATGTATATCCACAGACTGAAATTGCATTAGATTCGAATGTCGAAATTCTCACAAATTTCCATGGAATGGATGAGATTTTTTTGCCACCCGTCAAAATAAATCAAAATGTTAAGTTCACATCAAAGCGAGCTAATTTTTGCCACTTCCGGGACATTTAAACTGCAGCCGGAAATGAGGTGTGGGTACGAGCACAAATCTTTATAGCGTTTGCCAATCAATCATCAATATCGAAACACAACCGATGGTTCTGCGTATGCGTAATATTGTTGTTCATTGCAGTGCCATTCCCAGATCTATTGGTGGTTGAGCTTACGTTTCTCACGATAATTAGTACCAGCAAGTGGCAGGCAAGGGTGAGGAGCAAAGGGCAGTGTAGCTGGATTGGGGGCGGCTCAAGCTCAGGTGACGGTAATTTGCGGTGCCTCAAGGATATTTGATGTCAAAAAGAAATTGCTTTGTGCTAATCTGTCTGCCTGCTGGCCCGTCTAGACTAAGAGTGATTTCTGCTCGTATGCCAGGCCGTGTGGCACAGTCACAGTCCGCTTAGGCCTTCTTGGCTGTCGGCACTTTACATCAAAGTAAAAGCTATTGCGATTGGCTAGACAGCGCCTTATAATCCTCTCCTCTTTAGTTGGCTTACATTCCGTTTTCCCCCCACAAATGCTTGTGTGCGCATCTTCATTCCACCAGACCACACGCACATGACACATGCCTCTAAATGTTGTGGTTTGGCTGTGGTTGAATGCAGTAGCTCCAGTAAAAATTCTATGAACGGACGGATCCGTGAAAAATATTCCGATACCTATGGTTATATTCGGAGGAGCCAAATGCGCAATCCACTGCGGTGATTCCCGCTACTACGACGGTTGTGTACGATCATTTTTTATTGTATGTACAAAGTGTGAACATAATATATGGTAATGAATATAATTTTTGATAATAGTATATAGAATGTGACTATCCTCGTGGGTTAGTAGTTGACGTCGTCTTTGCTGGTCAATAAATATATTGTTAAAAAACCGAGTAATTTCCTGACAGAGCCTTTCCCTAGCACTTGCAGAAGCGCCTGCTCCATGGACGTTTGCGAGGACAAACTGGGTGGCTCAATGAAGCAGAAGTACACGGCATCCGGTGTTTGCCGGTCAATGCCGAAGAGCTCGTCCGTGTCCAGTTCCTCCTCCTCATCTGTTGACGCTGTGCTCTGGCTTTTCTTTAAACGTTTCTGGGCATTCCTCAGGCCCGTCTGGCTAGATGTCAGCAGACCTCCGGTAACTGTTGACTAGACAAGAGAAAAGTTAGCTGAAGGTTACTCCATTCCGTTTGCAGCTTACCTTAAGACCCGCACTTATGACCAATCGCCAGACTGCACGGCACCCACCTCACGGTGCTCATACAACTTGGACACTACCTCCGCTTGGCTCCGCGAGTGGATAAGACGAATGACACGCTTTATCTCGCCGCGTAGAATGCGCACCAGAGTCAGCATTTACACTCACAGTACATAAAGGACTTTGCAGCTCTTTGGGACTTTAATGGACAAGTGGTACCTTGCTGACTTCCAAAGAACGGTAAACCATACGTACACACACCCATGGGAAAAGACCACTCGGCAGGATGGGTTTTATGGACATTTCCAAACATTTTTGTTACAGAGTTACATCCACCACTTAGTACAATGCTTCAATGTGAAGGGATTATTGATTTAGATTTGGTTGAACTATAAATGGGGTACATTTACTAAAGAAATCGAATGGTTGGCGAACGGTTGTACAATTTACTGGTAAAAAGTTTTTATCTGAAAATAAAACAATACCATACAAAAACATATTAAAAAAACTTCCAAAATTTAAGAAACATTAAACATGGTACAAAACTTCAACTTTGAGTCGCTATATCTTCAGTTGTATCTATTCTATCGCCACGAATCAAAAATCCTGTGGAAGGTAGTGCAATTTTCTTGTCAACCTTTTTGAGTATATCCGCGATACGTTTCTGAGTAAAAATTATGAAAGTGCAACAGTCACAAAATTGCGGTTTCGACCTACTAATTTTTGTCTCGAGTAAAGTACAAAATGACTGTCGCGCAGTGTAATTATTAATTGGAGTACATAGTAATGATAAGAAATATGAAAATATGATGGGGAATATGCATTTTTGTATGGAAAGAGTAAATAAGTGCTGTGTCTTTGTTTGAAAATTGAGAGCAATTTATAAAGTGTTTCTGAGCAAAGCTTGGTATCCAGCTCACAATTATTCCTGAATAAGCTGTGTTATAGTTTAAGCACGTGTCGACGCTCATCGATGATCTCAGCGCTCTCGATATAGTATATATAGTAGATAATAAGCAAATAGAATGGAACCTCCTTCAGCAGTAGGAGCCACAACACAACTTTCAACGTTTCAATAACAGTGATAAAGCTGGACGGCAATCCAGATGCGATGAGATCGAGGTCTGTCTTGGGCAAACGATTGGCGGATTTAGTGTGGCAGTGGATGGGGTGCGGAGCTCTGAACACACTATTTACAATGCAGACAGGTAAAACAAACCATTCCTCTAATTTTAAAATAATTACTCCTACATTTATCTACGCTGTTTCATTCATGACAACCTGACCTGGCTGGGTCCCACCCTGCTCTTGCGGCATAGCATAGCCCTGTCCGGGGAGTTTAAGAAGGCTGTGGCTTTTCTTTCAACTGGAGCTATGTCTGGACGCATAGAAGACGGGCCCGACCTGCTGGCGCACATCGCCTTAGTCGCAAGCTGGGTGCATACTCTGCCCCAGCAGGAGGTGGCGACCACAGGCAAGGCGTATGAAAAGAACCATTTCCCTGGCTATAACCGACGAATGTTTAGAGGTAACGAAGGATATTATAATAATTTTTCTTTTATTAATTTTAGTGAAACTTTCACAATTTGCAAAAAAACACAGCTGATTCATCAACCCTGTTTTAGTCATGTTCCACACCCTCAAGGAATAACTAGCCAAATCTGGCGGTAGTTTCTCGACTGGCCTTTAGAGATGATTTTCTACGTTTGTTGCGACGAGCTTTTGTCAGAATGACAATTCGAGTTTTCGATATCATTCCCAGTATTATTCAACTAATATTCAGCAGCGCCGATTTGCGTATAATAGGCTGTTTACATTGGGCCTGCGTCATGCTTCTTTGCGTCTTGGCGAAGACGCAGTTTTTTTTACATAGGTTAAGCATAGGGCCCTAGTGGTGGCAAAAAGTTGCGTCGGTCTCTGATTCATGTGCGTCTATTCGATATATTCGATTGCTTTTGCGCTTAACTGCACATTTTTGCACTTTTCTGCCTATCAGCGCAACTATCACCTCTAAGAACAACAAAAACTTGTAGTTAAACAATCAAATTTTGACGCTAAAATGAATGGTTGTGCAAAAAGGTGAAAATATACATAAAATCTTGAAATAAAATACTTGAAACTGATTGTATTATTATCATACGACATTTTTGTGATCCCCTGACGCCATTATGACACTGCTGGAGACGAACTTCGATGGTTTTCATAATTTTAAGAAGAACTCCCACAAGCTCTACAAAGAAATGTCTGAAAATAATAAATAAATATAAGAATCAATTCTCTTTCGTCCATTTTCTTGT